ATAGACAATTGAATTGGTAGAAGTATATAAGCGTGCACACATGAGAATTGAGAAATGAAAGGGACCAGACACAGGGAAGGCAGATTGATGGAAGTCAGAAGAAACAACATCTCGAAGAGGTAAGTAAACGAAGAGGACCATGAAGTGGAGTCACAGTGCCTGGATGGTTCTTTCAATCTAGTTGTGATATTATCTTGTTAGAGCCACGTGGACCATTGAGAGTAAGTATGGGTCGTAGGCGAAGGGAGGGTCAATCTTAGAAGCTGTGGAGGATTTACAATTATTTGCCCAAGACGTCCAAATCAGGAAAAAACCCCACGACGGCGTGTGTTTCTTTCTGGCCCCTTTACTGCGGATTGACAGCCCGGCCTGATTTCTCTTTCGGCCCACTCAATCCTCCGTTCGCTCACTCTTGTTCCTTTCTCCCCCATCTTCATTCATTCATCATCATCATCATCATCATCATCATCATCATCATCATCATCATCATCATATGATCTCCTTGGTTATGATTATTATCAAATAGCACCTTCCAAGTTCTTGTCATAGGACTTATCCATCTTTGATAGCCCATCGTGTTCGTCCTTTAAATATTATTTTCATGTTGTGATTAAATATTTAGTGAATCAATTTAATTTTAATATTCTAATAAAATATATTCAGTTTGAACTTAGAGCTAAATCAATGTTTGTGATTTTCTTTCAAACAAGCATGTTAATCGAAATGAACTTTTAAGGTCAAATTAACATTTGGATTTTTTTTTCAAGGCTGGTGATAATTTTCTTTAGAATGAAGCGTTTTTGGTTTCTATATGTACATTCAAATTAAATTTTAATTTAATTTGTATACATGTATTATTCAAAATAAAGAAAAACATGGAATCTACAAGAAAATAAAGAGTCTTTGTTTTTTCACCAGAAGAGTCATTTGGTTCAAATAATTGTACGGTACTTTTCAAGGGTATTTTATTTTTTAAGTGTTTTTTGTTTGGAAAAATGATGATATAAATTTCTCTAGATTATGTAAATGATAATACAGTCCCTCAAAATGCCATAGTACTAATGAAGACCCTTTAAACTTCTTTTTCAATAACTTTTTCAAGAAAAATATTATTTTATCCTTATTAAAAATAATAAGATCTAATCACAACTTTTATTTTATAAATCACAATAATTGAATAAAAATCACAACTTGTCAAGTGTAATCTTTATTATTAAAAAATAAGTGCCAATCGTAACTTTTTGTTAAGAAACAACAACTTTTATTTTGTGAATCGTAAGAATTAAATAAAAATTATAATTTATCAAGTATAATTTTTATTGTTAAAAAATAAATTCTCAAAATAAAAAACTCCATTTATAACTATTGTTTAAAAAATTACAACTTTTCTTCAAAAACATTACAAGAATTGAATAAGAAATCATAGTTTATTAATAAAGGTGAAATAGTCTTAACTCCAAAAAAGTTATTGATAAAAAGTCTTTAAAAAATTTATTAATCTTATAACATTTTGATAAATCAAATTATTATTTACACAATTTGAAGGGATTTTATTATCATTGATCCTTTTTGTTTCCTCCTCCACTTCCCCCCATTTATTTGCTCAACTTTGAATAAAAGGAAGTGTTTCAATTATTTATTTTCCTATTCTCAAACCACGAAATAAAATCAATATCTGGTGAACATTTGAGCAACGGATAGAAAAATGGAATCTTTATTCTTTTGTTTTTTTCCCTCTTTTCCTTTGGTTTCATTCCCTTTCAGCAGCTTCTATGGATTTAGGTGGTTAAGAAAAATAAAGAAAATAAAACAGAAAAGAAAGACAAGGAAGCCTGTACGTATGGGTGGCCTCTAGACGAGTGCCTTGCGTCCAAAAAAATCAAAAGGCCCACAGGCCTGTCGTCATTCGGTAGCAAACAGAAAACTGGGTCGGGATCTTTAAACTTTGCTCGAAAGAGGCTCTTAATCTTAAATATCACGAAAAATGCCAAAAAACCAAAAGTCTCCCAATATATGCATGATGTGTTCTGCTTTCGATAGGCTACAATATCTTTTAGTGCGATCGTTCTCAATGAGTTTTGAGACCGTATTAACAAAAAGTCGTTCACTCTGTCACCCACTTCAATTTTACGGGCCAAACTAACTTGGTCCGCCTGGTTGTTAATTAGCAAACCAAGTTAATGGAGAGGAGTCAAAAGAAATAGAGCGTAATAATAAAAAATAAATGAGCTACTGATTTTGTTTGTTATGATAAAAATATAATCCAAAGACAAAGACGGCCTTAAGTAATTTTTCCTTCCCTTTAATGTCCACCACTGTTGACATCCACACCATCATGGCTTTCTCACTGACACCTGTAATGCCCTAACTTTATTAATTAGAAACTTTTTTTGAACGATACTAATTAAAAAATTAATTAAATATTATGGTAATAAAAATATTTAAACTAATAAAAATAATTGACATAGTGTATAGATTTAAAGTCAATTTTTAAATTTATTTTAAAAGATAATCATGATAGAAAAGAGTTAATCCATATTTTAAAAAAGTATCATGATTACAAAAATTTTATCTGCTAAATAGATATTTAAAATCTAGCCTGATAAAAATAATAAATTAGTTAAAAAGTTATAAAAGTTTGCATTTACTATCTAAAATTATAAATAAAATCCTACCATGGTAGAAACATAGAAAAGAATAAAAAAAAAATAAATATTCCATTCAACAAAAATTTAAGCTTATTAAGTCTGCAGACATACATGTCATATCTCACCATAAATACTCAAATATTATTTCAATATATGTCTCAACACTTAGAATTTTCTATTAAATATTTTTCTCTAATAGATCCATTAAGCAACTTCTATGGCATTAGGTCTCAACTAACAATACTCTTTGCAATCATCAATGAATAATAAACAATTTCAAACTCAACCCAAATGACAAATGAGTCCTATATTGGCAAATGATTATTCTATAAACTAAAATGGTATTTAAAACTTACTCAAACTAAGCCCCAAACTTCCAGACACTTTCCTTTTGCTCTGCTAAGCTTAACTAAAATTAAAGAAAGGGGTAAGCACTAACGTCTTAGTAACTCAGAATTTAACTATACATACACAAAATATAACTACACTAATATATGACAGATATACAAGTAAGTTCATGAGGATCATTCACTCATGAGCATAAGAATTTCATAGGACAATTTATAACCATTAAATGCAACATGCTAATATGCAATACCAATGTTCCCCCTTATCACTCCGTCCATCCTATCTCGCTAACTGGAACCATAAGCTTATATACAGTCTAGCCATACACTAGATTGACTAGAGCTTATTTGATGCTCAAAATGTACCCAACCAAAGGCACAAAGCTCAAGCCAAAACTATGTCTCCCTTCCTCAAAGAATCCAATTAGGAGGTGTCACCATCCTATGTTTTCCCTTTACAAATCTAGTTAGGTAAGTATTGAGGAGTGGGGCTCTAAAAGGAGCCAACCACTTTGCGCAAAGTAGAGGCAAACCATGTGGTCACTAACTCATATATACATCAAGCATCATCATCTCTTCATCAACCATTCCCCAATGCATGCTACACATATATAATATTCATATCGCATACAAGCATGCTCGAAAAAAATAAAAATATCTCATTTGATTAATTCAATTTACAAGTATGCTTGAAAGAAATGAACTACTATCAATAACATACAATTTTCATAAAATAAACATTATTAATCTATATTCACAAGCATGCTTGACAAGAAACTCTATTAATAATATATAAACAAGATACAAGCATGCTTGACAAGATTCAATTACATATAAATTTTTTCACAATTAAATTTACAATTATTCGCATTCTGCATCAACATAAAGCTTGCACATATATTGAAAAACTTTGAGTTACTTGTTCTCCTTGAGTTAATAAAATCCAAAACAAAAACAAAAACTCTTAGCGAGAGTCTACAAAAATCACATACATATAAAAATATTAATATAAAATTCAAAGGTACTAAAAATTACCCTAAAACTATTCTAAAATTATTCTAAAATTACTCTAGGACCTTAAGCTAACCTTTAGGAACCCTCAAAATCTCCTTTTAAATTCATATCTCTTCATAACATAATTATTTTGCTAGCTCCATGCATGTCTTCCACAGTTTGAGCATCATCTATAAATGGTTTGGAATATATATATATAATATAATATATATTCAAGTACCCTCTCCCGATTGTGAACGTTCAATATGAAAGGAAAAGAAAGGGGCAAGAGAACCAAAAAGCAATGGATGGGAAAGGATTAAAGAAGGAAGGGAAGGACATGAAAGGCAAGAGTTTTGGGAGACAAACCAATGATGTGAGAGCTAAATTGAACTTGCAGGCAGCAGAAGCAAAGCAAACGTTTGGATGAGGAAGCAATAGATGCAAACTAGGTTTTGGTTATTAATTAGGGCTCGTATGAATTTATAAAGTTTAAACTCAATTTTCTTTCCAGTTATTATTTAAAATTTCTTTTAAAAATTTCTTATAGATAAACAAGTTTAAAGATAACTCCAAAATTATTTGAATATATTTTAAACTTAATCAGATTTCTTATTATTATTACTACTTTTTTTTTATAAGTTAGTTTCACATATTTAATAAATATAATTCCCTTTAATTATTTATTTTTCATTTTTTTGGCCCAACTCATAAACCTATCTCATCTGAGGCCCAACCTAATTCAGGGTATTACACCACCCCTTCCTCAATCCTCATTCGGCCTCAGCCAATCTCCCCTCGGTAACATACACAAACTCCATTTAAAAGATAGAAATGGCCATCAGCGAGAAAAAACAACACAATCTCGAATTAGAGATGATGCTGTCCTCTGGTACGCCCACAATCTCCCATCCACCCCATGTAGAGACGAAGAAAATCCTCTGTCGTCAATATTATTATATGACAAAGGAGCCGCTGGGAGGTAGAGGCCTGACGCTTGTCCACGGTGGTGGAAGGTCATGGCTTCCATCCTACTTGATATTTCATGTATCTAGCTTGCCCTTACATAACAATAACAATAATACAGGAATATTGAAAAAGAAAACAATGCCTATAGTGCAAACTACTGTTCAACTGCTACGCCAGAGTTTTCTAATCGAGGGGGCCTCCATTTCCTATTGAAGATACTTCCTTCCGCCATTTTTGCAGCCTTTGACTTCTCATCCTGGATTTTTAGCTTCTCGTCAATTTTCCAGCAAATCTTGTAAACCCACTCCAGTGACAGCAGATGTTCTCACGTGGGGCCCAGACGGGCCCACAGTGTCCACATTAGAGGGCTCATTTTCTTGCTCACAAACTGTCCAGGGCAAAAAGGAATCAACTTCCTCGGCCGAAGTATCCTCATACAACCAGCCATCAGAATCACCCTGTTTTCCTTCCATGGCCTCCTCAGAACCCCACAATGGCGGCTCATTGACGTTATAGTTGTCAGCTACCCCCTCGACACCTCAATTTCTACATCAGGATTATTACCTGCCCCATCCTTTCAGGATCTGCAGATGCGACAAATTTCATACCATCCTCTCCGTTGAAGACGCAGGTTTCATCTCTTTCATCTTCACCTGTACCCTGATCTTCATCATCAAATATTGATCATCATCCATGCCCTCTTCTTCAATATCGATCTGAACACATTTCAGCGTTTACATGGAAACAGAATAAACTGATGAGATATGAAATTAATCCTATTCCCCTCTACATTAGAAGAGCAGGTAAATCTCATTACCTTGTTCCAAACTCCATCATATTCTGAAGCTTCTCTTCAGAGACTCCTATTTGTTGAAGAACTTGCAGCACTGTGGAGCGATGCTCATCAAGGTTGGGAGCACTGGAATCCACCACATGCTTCAAGAAATTATAGACTTTTTAGAAGAGTTGTAACACGACCAGCTTCTAAAGCGATCTTCTTAAAGCTTTTGGTCAAATATAACTAAAAAGCATGCAAGAAGAAACAATTTTTATTTATATTTGCAACAAAAGAAGTAACCTGCAAAAGGACAGCTCCCATGAGAATCTAATAACAATTAGGAACCAGAAATTACGTTAGATGCCTTCTGCCCTTCTGTGTGAATACAAGCATTGTTTTCCAGCAATCAAACTTTTTTTTTCAAAACAAGCAAGTCAACTTAGTCATCAGCCAAAAAATCCCAATGGATTTTCTTCTTTACTATATACTTTGATGCTTACTTTTTCTTTATTACCCCACCCCCAAAAAAGTTTTTATTTTGGTGAGAGTAGAGCTGGTAATTTGGACATGTCGGGCCCAGGTATATTCGGCTGAGCTTATTTAGGGTTGACACAAATAGGCCCAAATAGACAAGCCTAGCCTGAACCTCTTTCAAGCTTCAGGCAGTCAGAATACCCGAATTATCACCATTTTTTAATCTTTTAAATTAATTTAAATTTAACTTTTTACTTTAAAATTAATTATTTTTATTTTATAAATATATTTTTTGAGATACAAAATGATGTAGAAGACTCAAACTTTTTTAAAAAAAAATATCTGGGTACTAAAATTTAAAAAATCAATATTAAAATACAATTTTAAATATTTTGAGATTTTTATAGAATAAAAATCAATATAAATATTTTAAATTTTTTTTTAAAAATATATATAATAATGTACTTAAACACATAGTAATATAGTATCTTCATATTAAATGACCTAAAGCTTAAAAAATTCATTAATATTTAATATTTTTTAAAATGCATTTTTTGTTCTGATAGTCAGGCCAAGCCTAAACTTGATCAGGCTTCGCTTGAATTTTTTGAGTCTATTCGGGCAGTGTGAATAGGTCCAAACATTTAAAAAAAAAATGCCCTAAATTTTCTGGGCTTATTCAGGCTCATCAATATAGTGAAAATTTGCTATGCTAGAGGGAGTGGAAAAGTAAGACACAATCTTTGAAAACTAAACACATGAAGGAAGAAATAAGTTATGCCATAAAGGAAAGGCAACACCAGAGATCTTGAGTAAACGTTTTTCCAAAAAGCTCAGCATGTCAAAATATACCTTCGCCGCTGAAGCTGAAGTTCTGTTTCTCCAGCACCACTCATGAAACCTCGACCTCCACTTCCTCTCCTGAAATTCAGAACTCAATTTTCAATTTGACATTGAAACTACCCAATTACCAACAGAAGAAAAGATTGCATGGAGCACATACAGAAAGCAGCATGATACAAGATGCACGCAAACAAGTGTAACAGATGGTTAGAGAAGTGGAAAAAACTATACTTAGTGTTAATAATTTTGCATATTGACCTCTTCGCAAGCAAAAAAATGTTGCAAATGAACCTTGAACTGTGGAATACTATGTCCACATATTATCATTATTTCAAGTTGTGTCCAAGGAGAGCAGTAATTGCAATACCTCAAATTTTCAGAGTATACATTAATCCAATTTAGCAATTTATGTATGCAGGGGAAAATATAAGTTATTGTCTAAGAATAACATTAAACACTAAAAACATAGGCAACAAACCAACCCTCGAGCACTAACAACTTCAGCTTCTCCAGCAATCCAATGCATAGCGTCCATCTGGGCCACGGACACGAACAAGTCTTGATTTCTTATACAATAATGCAGCTAGTTCAGCCTACATAAAGATATAAAAACATGAAGGGTCATGACGAGACTATTAACAATGTTAACAAGAAGATAACAGTTGAGAGGTAATACTAATAATTGAGACAGACAACAATACCTGCAACTTTGCCTCCTTTGTAAAGGCATGAGCATTGAATATCTTCTATTATCAGACCCACACGATCCAGAACAGGTTTTCGCCAAACGCGCTGGTATTACATGGCATGGGACCAAAACATCAATTTGTCAGTCCACCAAAGTGAGAGAAGATGAATAGACATATAACTTGGCCTGCTATGTAAGTAGAAACTTACCTCCAGATTTCGCTGCTGAATCCCAGATAGTATAGCATTAACAAAAATAGCATCCACTTCACCCTGTTTAAGTTACATAGTCAAAATCATCTGCTAAATTGAAACTGATAATGAGTCACCAAGAAAAGAAAACTACTCTTTGCCTTCGATTCAGCAGCACTAAGATGGCATTTGATGTTCTGTACAGTGCCTGGTCCAAAATATGTGTCTGCCAAGTAAAAAATAAAGAATCACAACCACATATCATATTGTACACTTGAGTGTTCAACTGACACTACATACAAATATTACACGTCATTCCGCAAGTAGAAAAGAAGGCTGATTTTACTACGGCGGAATGGCAATTTATTAGTGTATATTACAGTCGTCATTAATTTGATGTTTGTAAATCTGTAACATGGCAGATAGGGAAAATGAGTCTGAAGCGCCTAAATTGTAAAGACGTTACACTGGACAGAACTAACTATTCCATTCAGATTTGAACTTTGACAAAGAATCTACAACTAATTTGAAAGTTCCCGCAAAGCGCTCATAGCCTCAGCATTGTTTCAAATTTAAACCCTCCCCTTCCCAGGCCTAAAGTCTTTCGATCGTCTGACCCAAAGCACGGTGAATTATGCAGCCAAGGCAGTTCTATTTAAAAACAATTGTTAGAGGGGTGTAGATTTTGATCCGAGACTTAAGTACAGATTCCCGCTATTATTGCGCAAAAGATTCCAATAATAAGACCGAAAAGTGTGATCCAAGCCGGTAAAGTTAGAGGCGGACCTGCTCGAGCCTTGTGGCCTTTCATGGATGGGTTTGAACAATAATATGGGGAGGCAAACCCTTATCAAAGAAGTCTGTATCGAAATACCCATCTCGCTGCTCTTCCGAGAGTTAGCAAGACAAAGAGCTTCGTTGAGCTTAGCCTGCAAAAATTTTATCGGACGTAGGCGGGGTTGAACAAAAACAAGTTAGGGGGGCTGGTTGGGTCCCTGTTGAAAAGTGATTCGACTTCATACGTGTCCTCCTTGTTCTGCTTAGGACGACGTGAATACGGGAAATAAGGAGTCCAGGTGGAAGGGAGGCGCAATTCGCGACGAAGTGGAAGGCAGAGACGGTGAGAGAAGACCGGAGAACGAAACGCGCGCCAGCTAAGATCTTGGTGAAAGATCCCAGTGAAGTGCGCAATCCAGAGATGGCTTTTCAACATTTCACACGCACAGATTGTCAGGTTTTCTCCAGCTTCAGCAGTTATTCGCGGTCATGAATGTGCGGAATGAGCACAGGCATCTCCGCCACATCATCGCGAGGTGTACATAACAAATAGTGGGCTCAGCATTGCTTTCTAGGCCGCCCTCTAGTGGGCTCGGTCGAAGGCTCGGATTAATTTTTTAATTTTGCCAACGGCCTTGTAACTCATTGACATCAAGTTCCCTGGTAAGTAGAAGATTGTGGGCTCATTTCATTAAAACCTCTCACATTGTTAGTGCATGCCCCCTCTAATTAACAAAAAAAAAAAGTAACAATAACAACATAAAAAACAACTTTATCTACTAGACGGGATATCGATTATATAAAATTATACAATATTATTGTACTTTATTATTAATTAAGCTTTTGAGAATATTATTAACTAGGAAGTCTCGTTCAATATTCTATAAATATTCTCTCTTGTCCTCCTCTATCTTTTTCCTTTTTTTTTTTTACAAGGCTCAAAATTATCTATCATTTTTTCTCAATGAATGCCATGCCCACTTTTTCTCATATATGCTTATTTTGAATTTTACCTTCCATACATCCATTTTAACATCTTCATATCAGCCACTTCAAACTTTTTACTCCCACTAACTCTTGAAAAACTCAACATTTACTGTTGTATAGTACAGTTGGTCTTATAATAATTTGATAAAATTCATGATGACCTTCTAATTTTACATATTTTAAGGTGTTTTATTCGTTAGTCAAAGAGTTCATCTAGTGATTTTCAATTACCTTCTTGTGTTTGATGTTAATTTGATGTTAGTTAACTTGTTTTTGTAAATAGTATGTCTTGACTTCTTTTAGATTAATTTCTATTATTCATTTGAGTTATTTTAATTTTAGAAACCCCTACAAAAGAAAGCATGGGTGATGTGGAGGAAAAAACTATGATAATTTTAAAGAGAAAAATTAAAATTTAATGTTACCTCCTACAACAACCACTACAGCAGGTCAGTGCCATAAAGTAAATTTTGAACCAAGTACAAAGCCCTCTTAATGGATTTCACACCAAAAACCCACAGTTTCACTTCTTTAGTTAGACTAAGGAGGGAAAACTAGAGTTTTTCAAATCAGACTTCATTTTTTAGTTAGACTAGGAGGGAACTAGAGTTTTTCAAATCAGACTTCATTTTGAAATGTCTCAAAAGTTGTTGGGGGAAATTTTTAAAAGTTTGGAACGATTTTGGAGCTTAGGAAAAAAATAACTCATCATTTTCTATATTTTCATTGAATTTTTCATCACTTTCCCCCTTCTTTCTCCTAGGTGTTTGAATTTGAACCATATTATGTTGTTGATGCTTTTTTTTTTAGCTACTTGTGGCTAAATTTGATACTTTAGAATCTTATGAATTCATTTATCTTTGTTGTATCTTAATTTACCATTATTTTGTAATTAATTGATGTTGTTTTAATTTTAATCTCAGTTTTGCTTTGCATTGCTCATTGATTGGCTACCATCAGGCAATAATTTGTAGCAGTAGGATGATTTTGGGAAAAAATTTTTGTTTGGATCATCAAAATAAAGGATTAGGATTAACACTAATTAATCTATTTTAAAATATGAATATATTTAAAGGACTTAAGTGATTATAGAAGAGGTTTAAATAAATAAACCATAGCTTATGATGAGTCAAAAGCACGTGAACCAAGAGAGGATTTGACTGGGAAATAAGACTTTGGAGCCATTATGCAGTGACAAGAGAGCACATTTGGTGCCATCAAGGGTGGTGAGCACCTGACGCAATTTGAATTATTCAGATTAAATATTTGTTTTTAAACACTTTTTCTTTTATTGTTTAAATAAAAAATTATAAATTAATAAATCTATTAATTACCAACAAATATAATTCATATTTAATTAGGCTAATTTAAATTTAATATTAATTTTTTATAATTTTTATAAGAGAGAATTACATCTGGCCTTCTTTCAAGAAAATTTATTATAGACAAGGACCAACAACAAGTCCCATTCAAAAAAAAGTAAGTCATTTTTATTTTAACAATAATTCATTTTACATTGGTCTTTATGGGATTAATTCTCTTAAAAGAGGGTTAATTATAATTTTTTTATAAATTGACCATATAAATTTAATCTATACTATTTTGAATTTGACAGTATAATAAATTAAAAGTTTTGAATATAAGTAGTACATCTATATGGTCAATTTATATAAACTATAAAAAATTTAATATTAAATTTGGACGACTTGATTAAATATAAAACTATACATATTGATATTAAGAAAATTTTTCAAAATTTTATAAATTTTTATTATAAACAAATAAAAAAATAAAAAATTACTTAATCTGGACCATTTAGATAATTTAAATTGTCTAAATTATTTCAGGAGTTTGATGAACACAGAATATGCTCCGTGACAAACTTTGTTTTGTTTGATAAAACGTTGATTCGAATACCATGCAGCAACAATTTCATTTTATTGTCTTTGTTTATCTTGAACTAGAGGCCTCTCTATTTTTTTCTTCATATTTTTCCCTCCACTTTTTCAGTCCTCACTCTTCATTAATTCTTTAATTAAAAAAATTATTTAATTAAATAATATGAATAGTAAGGATTGAGGAAGTGGAGCAAAAAGGCGGGGGTAAAAATGGAAACGGCGCTGGTCCCCTTATCCTTCTTTGGCGCCCACTTGAAGCGCCACTCCGTCCCTGGCCCTGATCGGGGGGGTGTTTTGGTTTGCGTCTTTAAATAATCTCTATTCTTCTTGCAAATGTGTAGTTCGCAGGATGTTTTCCCCAATCGTACTTCTAAGTTCTATGACTCTCATTGCCGGCATTCCAGACCCTCACACTGGGCCATTGGCCCAGAAGGCTGGCCCATTCCTTGTTCATCATCCGTAAGAGAGAGGTCCATGCAGATATGGGAACGCAGTGGAAGAGGCGGAGAGTTCAGACTTCAGAGACAGATAAACGGATCATTAATTGACGCTCGATTGGTTATAGATGTAAGAATGCATTAATCCATTTTTAGGTGATTGTAGCGCCTACTTACATGAAAAGGCGTAATTGAACGAACTGTATGCAATCTTTTGTTATAGAAAGCTTGGGACATCATCATTAGATCCAAGAACATGACAATTCACGCAGACGTCAGTTGTCAATAAGCTGTTACGAAGTGACCAGGAGAGATGCCCTCCATCATTGTCAAGCTTCCCGCTGGTAGCCATCCACATTCAATTCCAATCATTCTTGCAAATTTTGGTTCCCAATATAATAATTCATTCTACGCACTACTCTGCAATGAACAGCTTGCAAACAAACTAATTGATTGCCTGAACCTCTGATCAACCAAGAGGAGGAGATTTGGCGAACAAAGCAGCTTGGCTTTTGCTGCAACGACCGTCTTCACTTCCTTGAATCAAATCCGGATATTATAACAACCAAAATAACACTTTGTCCGACGGCAACCATTTTGATTCCTCCTTTTCCCCCGTCTACCGCATAAAGAGACATGCGTGCACACATGCATGTCTTAGCGTAAGAGCCACCGACAATGCTAATTTGAAAAAGTCACTAATATGTTGCACATTTATCGCCTCCTCCATGCACGCGAAGTCTTTTTTTGACTTCACCATATATATTTTGCTGTTTCCTTTTGATTTGTGTTCGTTGTTGCCGTCGGCATGTCACCCTTATGCATATGTTATTCACTTATTCTCTCTGTTTCTTTTGCCTTGTTAGAATATTTGGACTTCATACATGCGAACTTTTTCTTATTAAGACATGGAAGGACACGCCCACTTCACTAAAGGCAAACCAAACAAACCACGAAAGGATCCCTTTATTACAGTGTATTTACTATTCTTTAATTCATCCACGTACGTTGCTGCCTGCTGTACCCAGGATCTCTCTTTGACCACACGCTTTTCACATTGATTTTTCACCTGCATCAATTATCCAACATTTTGAGCTAACCCGACAAGCAAAACTAAGCAGCCTGTAGTCTTACCGCAATTCCATATTATTAGTATCTTGATTGTGAGCGATCGAGCTGATAACTTCATCTCGTTATCTTTCCCCTTTTACATAGCCACAAGAGAGAAAAAAGAAATGATAGCTCTCGCGCTAACGCACATGGAGTTTCATGGGTGAACGCTGGGATGGGATGAGATTGCTTTGACGACCAACATCGTTAGAAATGCAGAGTGCTTTGGAAGCTGTGAAAGTTTTCCCACAAGATAGCTTTCCAACACAGCGGGAAAATGTTAAATGACACAGGCCACCGAGTCATCAATCAGATCGCTAAAGCCCTTTTGACGGAATCTGATTTCGCACTCACTTCCTCTTGCTTTTGAATTAGATCAACGGAATATGCCCCTTTTAGACAAAGTTTCACAACAAAGGGGGATGAGTAATGATGTCCATCGACGGGGACTTGGGGAGAACCAGTAGCGCCACCATAACATCATACCTTTCAATTTTTTTTCGGTCAAAGGATTTTTTCAAATATTATACATGTATATATATATATATATAGAGAGAGAGAGAGAGAGTTACCATATCACCGCAAGCGCTGAGTAATTGAAAACACGCTGCGCTGGTTTCCGTAACGACCGAACACAGGTTAATCTTTCGAGCAGGGCCGTCTCATATATTTAATTCCTTAATCATTTTAATTATCCTTTCAATCATATAAGCTTTTTTATAGCATTGTCGTTGTTATCACTTACCAGTAATGATTCCATAAATTTTAGCAGAAAAGATTTGAAATTTTGGTAATTCTCTTTCATCGGGAAAAGCTCAATTAAATGTAAGCATCAAAACCTGTGAATAAGAACCCCCACCATCCCTAATTTCACCACCAAGAAGCCTACTAACCCTTTCTTCGCATTGTGCTGCAATGAACAGCTTGCAAACAAACTAATTGATTGCCTGAACCTCTGATCAACCAAGAGGAGGAGATTTGGCGAACAAAGCAGCTTGGCTTTGCTGCAACGACCGTCTTCACTTCCTTGAATCAAATCCGGATATTATAACAACCAAAATAACACTTTGTCCGACGGCAACCATTTTGATTCCTCCTTTTCCCCCGTCTACCGCATAAAGAGACATGCGTACACACATGCATGTCTTAGCGTAAGAGCCACCGACAATGCTAATTTGAAAAAGTCACTAATATGTTGCACATTTATCGCCTCCTCCATGCACGCGAAGTCTTTTTTGACTTCACCATATATATTTTGCTGTTTCCTTTTGATTTTGTGTTCGTTGTTGCCGTCGGCATGTCACCCTTATGCATATGTTATTCACTTATTCTCTCTGTTTCTTTTGCCTTGTTAGAATATTTGGACTTCATACATGCGAACTTTTTCCACTTCACTAAAGGCAACCAAACAAACCACGAAAGGATCCCTTTATTAACAGTGTATTTACTATTCTTTAATTCATCCACGTACGTTGCTGCCTGCTGTACCCAGGATCTCTCTTTGACCACACGCTTTTCACATTGATTTTTCACCTGCATCAATTATCCAACATTTTGAGCTAACCCGACAAGCAAAACTAAGCAGCCTGTAGTCTTACCGCAATTCCATATTAAGTATCTTGATTGTGAGCGATCGAGCTGATAACTTCATCTCGTTATCTTTCCCCTTTTACATAGCCACAAGAGAGAAAAAAGAAATGATAGCTCTCGCGCTAACGCACATGGAGTTTCATGGGTGAACGCTGGGATGGGATGAGATTGCTTTGACGACCAACATCGTTAGAAATGCAGAGTGCTTTGGAAGCTGTGAAAGGTTTTCCCACAAGATAGCTTTCCAACACAGCGGGCAAAATGTTAAATGACACAGGCCACCGAGTCATCATCAATCGCTAAAGCCCTTTTGACGGAATCTGATTTCGCACTCACTTCCTCTTGCTTTTTGAATTAGATCAACGGAATATGCCCCTTTTAGACAAAGTTTCACAACAAAGGGGGATGAGTAATGATGTCCATCGACGGGGACTTGGGGAGAACCAGTAGCGCCACCATAACATCATACCTTTCAATTTTTTTCGGTCAAAGGATTTTTTCAAATATTATACATGTATATATATATATATATAGAGAGAGAGAGAGAGAGTTACCATATCACCGCAAGCGCTGAGTAATTGAAACACGCTGCGCTGGTTTCCGTAACGACCGAACACAGGTTAATCTTTCGAGCAGGGCCGTCTCATATATTTAATTCCTTAATCATTTTAATTATCCTTTCAATCATATAAGCTTTTTATAGCATTGTCGTTGTTATCACTTACCAGTAATGATTCCATAAATTTTAGCAGAAAAGATTTGAAATTTTGGTAATTCTCTTTCATCGGGAAAAGCTCAATTAAATGTAAGCATCAAAACCTGTGAATAAGAACCCCCACCATCCCTAATTTCACCACCAAGAAGCCTACTAACCCTTTCTTCGCATTGTGGATACAAAACGCTTCTCAATTTAAAAAGAACTGGACTAATCAAGTATCCGTCCATGCAGCAAACACCGGCACATGGGGCAGTGAAAGTGGTGGCCTCAAGCTTGTCACTAGCGAAGGCGCTTCAGTGAGAATTGGCAAGCTTGTTTTCTCAGGGCTAACTTCACGTGAGCTGCTCAAGCCTGTCGCTAAAGATGAAGGATTTGAAACGTGCGTTCCCATCTTGGTTGATTCGTCTACTTGATGGATCATGTTATCTAAAGGTATTGAGAAGGATTGAGTTCTATAAGTCTCCATTCTTGCTGGATTTTGGTCGAGTTCCGTCATCCATTGGGAACGATTTAAGATATGCGTTCCCAGCTTCCACTCTGATGACTGGCCTTCGCAGCTCTTGTGCATTGAAATCGCATCCTGGTTTCCAACGTATGCTGTGCTTAAAGGAACGATAGCCCGATCGTTACCACCATCGATCTCTCTGTTCCGCCTGGCTAGTTCACCACTAAGAAGGTTACTGCTAGCCATGATTTTTTCCACATCATATCTTGTTATATCAAAGTTGGTCACAGCGTTTACTCCACGGAATTTAATAGCTGCAATGTCATATGCCTCAGCTGCTTCCTCTTGGGTACCTAGAGTTTCATTTCAATAACATAAATCAACTTTCTTTCATTCTTTATTTTACGCTGGGTCATATTTTTAAGTGAATAAGATTGAAGAGTTATGAATATATATATATATATATATATATTCCTCCGCATTCTGAGTCAACAGCCTTATAAAAAGCTGGGTCTCTGGGACTAGCTACCGGCTCTCTATAATATTAAAGTGGCTGTGGATCAGCTTTATTGTTGGCTGGAAAGCAGCGTGTTCAAAGAGCTTAGAGCACATAAATGATTAGCTTTCGAAAACTCACAAAACAACCTCACAGGTCACAGCTTCTTCCTATTATTGGGAACATAGTACAAGAGATGCACAGGCAATAAAAGAAAATTATCGACAAACAATAAAATAAAAAACTAAAAGAAAATTATTCAGTGAAATTTGGAAGAACTCACTGAAGGTTCCAAGATATAGATCTTTGTTTCCAGCCACTCTACCGATTCGAGCTTGCCACCGCCCATGTTGATGATGTCTGCTACCAAGTGAACAATGAGGAGCCCCCAGTTCAGATGAGAGAAACTCGTCGTTTTTAGAAAAGAATATAAATCTTATTACTAAATAAACGTTACAGTACGCCACGTAGTTAATCGCATTACCTTGTTACTCCTCTGTACATGGAAGCACCTCTGGAGAATCCGCTGCTTTTCCTGATAAGGGAGAGTGAGAGATGTTATGATCATGTAAGAAAATTATTAACTTCAAAATGCTAATGATATGCTTTGTTTAAATTAAGGAAAAAAAAGAGTCTTCAAGATGGCAATGAGACAGTAACAAAGGTTGAATACCTCCGCAAATGAGCTACGTATTCCTGTCTAGTCATGTTCTTCATTTCCTCAAGTTCATTTTGATAATTCTCCAACTGTAAAAAAGACGGTGGAGAAAGGGGGGGAAACTATTATAAGATCATAATTGCAAATCAGTAACAGTAACTGAAATAGGTTTCGTAAGCCGACTACAAGCATGGAAGAGAAAAGGCAAAAGTAGTTAATTATTACTGGGAAATTGATATGAGTGGAGGGTCCCCAATACTTGAGTGCGGCCAGATCATAAGCTCTTGCCGCTTTTTCTTCCATATCATAACCGCCTGTAATCAAATATTTGGATCGACTTGCATAAACATTAATTTTCCATTTTTGCTAGCATCATGAACCAAAAAAATATTGCATATATGTCTACATAATCCAATAAACTTCGAGAATTTCAACAGAAAATAGTCGTCGGGGAAGCTTACCTAGATAAACTGAGATATGTCGTATATTGAGTCGCGTCCCCCGCAAAGAAAAGAATATAAAAAAAGTGAGTGAGACCTGATTACTTAGAGCCCTTAAGTTGAACATTGATAGATATGGATGACCAAGCACATCATGAAAACAAACAAACAAAAGGACAGAAAAAAACAGGATTCTCATTTTTCATACCTTGCCTTCCTTTCCTACTCTGACCCTCTTTCTTGCAACTGTTGTCCCAAAGATGAGCTTCATATCTACCAGTCCATCTGTGTCTGATAATTAAACACCCTTTAGAAATTGAACAGAAATTACGAAGAAAAGAAAAATCAGTTTAGATGCGTTGAGCAGGATTTCGAGCGAGGCAGGACATACGATATCCAGCAACTACAAAAGCAAGCTGTCAGGCAAAGCAATGAACCAAGCATGATAGCCCAAAGATTTAGATTTCTTGAATTTGATGTAACAGGGGCACCACCAGTACATGCAGGAGAAGAGCAAACTAACCTTGTTACACCTCTATATTGGGATGTTCGTTGGCCAAAAGTATCTATGGATTTCCGGTGAATAATTTGTTTCTGGTCAAACTTTTCAGGTCCTCTTTTCTTCGTATCCACGCCAACAGAATCATTGACAGAAGGCGAAGCTCTCTGCGAACTTGTGACGCAGCTTGATTGTGAGCCAGGACTCATGGACAAGCTCAGTGACTGCAAATCCCCATACGCCACTGATCCGATGGACCCAGATTCGCCACCATTATTATCCTCCACACTAACCATCATCTCTGACTCGTGTGCATGACCTGCTGGGCTGATTCTTATGCCCCAGTTCTTCATTCCTGAAGCTCCCTCCTGTCCAATATTTGGGAACTGGACATTACAGTCTGAAACTTCATTTTGCTTGGGCCCTTCCAACATCATTTCACGGCTTCTAAAGCCAGAATAGTATGATAAGAAAGGTTGGGCCTGGATGTCTTGCCCTTGTTCGACGCGGTTTAGATAGTTTGGGTTGTTGAGTTCTCGACGCGAGGACTGGTTGGCGAAAATCATGCTGTCTAAGCTCAAGGTCCCCATTGTCGAGCTGCTCAAGAAATTCTCCAGTTTCGGGGTTGAAGACGATGCCACTGATTCAAATGTTAAATAACAAAAAAAAGGGGCCAAAATCAAAGTAGTCAGGACACCACTGGAAAGAAATGAAGTCTAGAACAAAAGCCCATGGCAGAAGTTTAAACTGAGTACTAACCTTGGGGCTGTGACTGCATTACATAGAGAGAGCCATCAGATTTTAGGGGCATGACAGGGAGAGAGGAATAGAAGCCGACATTTTCACCATCAAGCCCACCACAGTAAATGCCATAATTAGGAGGAAGGGGCATGGAGTGATAAAAGCTCGCCGGAACGGCATCTGCAGCGGCAGAGGAAGGCCGTATCACTTGGATCTCTTGTTGATGTTGGTCATTACAGTCAGAAGGAACGTCTAGACTCATGTGAGGGGAGAGAGAGAAACCCAACCAGTTGTTTTCATGACCATGGTTATCACCATTCTCCGCAGACTTCATCTTCTGTGTCTCACTTGTTCACCTATTTTGTCTAGCCAAGTTGGTCTTAACGCTAGGCAACTCAATCACGAGGAAACATTTTGTCTAGCCTTCCCTGTATTTGAAGCTAGAGATTTTTTGTTGGATATATATATATATATATATTGATTGTAGCGGAAGCGACTAAACCAAATCTAACCATCTGAGTAAAGAAATCTAACTCCTGAGCGCAACTGAATCCACATGCTCTGTTTCCTTCTCTCTCTGGGGCTGGCTGTGTTAGAGTCCGTATATATGTTTGTCTCTTTGGACAGAATTCCGAAGGCAAGAAAGCAGGTTCCTTTAAAATAAACAAAAAGAATGTGTTGCAGCAAGGTATGCTAGGCATCCTTCCCGCATTCCATGGGGATCCGTGTATGAGAAAGACCTCTTCTTTTGCTTTATCCTACGCTCCCACACCTTCCTCTTATCTTTTCTTCTCTCCTTTTAAAATACACATGTAAGGAAATAGGTCTCAAAAATCCATTAAAGAATTAGCAACCAACAAACCACGAGAATCCCCGAAATCACAGAAAGCAGGGTCCTCCCTCCCCATTTTGTCCACAGGACAGTGCAAATACTGGCAACTTCACCTTCCCGGTCCAAGTTGCCCCAAGGAAATTACTGGAATGACTGACTCTCTCTCTCTATCTTTAAATTTACTGATTAGTGGGTACACAGTATTAATGGGCTCTCAGAAGCAGAGGACCTTCTTGAATTAGATTTCACGGGCACAACACCATCTGTCCCTCCAGTCACTTCATTTCTGGACGCGTATCCTGATCTCTCTGGACCTACTTAACCTTGCGTCTATGGTCTACGGGTCTCACCCGTCCTTGTTTCACCATCCATCCTATGTAAATCCACATCACACCTCACCCTATTTGATCAATGCATGCACTCTCCCCCCTGCTCCCCTCCTTTGTCATCCAGTCAAAATTAATAAATTATTTACTTTCTGATTGTAGTAATTTTGTGCACGTTAATATAATTTAATATATTTATCTACACAATTTTTTTTGTGGTCTTTTATCTAAAAAAAATGCTCTTGGCTCACATGTATTAAAATATCTGGAAAGAGAGACGTAAAATTATTTATTCTAAAGATGATATTTATAAAAGAGACATTACCTTTATCAATATATAAGATATTTTTAATGATTAATATCTTCAATTTAAAATTAATTTTTTGACTCAACAAGATGATAAAACAAATGCCAAATACTTCCCCCTAATAAAGATTGGATAAGACTTCATATAAATGGCTCTATTAACAATCAAAAAGCTGTTTTTTATAGTGGTCTCATTCGAGATAACCACAGCAATTGAATTAAAAGTTTTTTAAATTTCTTAGTTATCATCCCAGCATGACATTCAAACTTATGAGCATTCTTGAAGGACTCAATATTTGCTGGCTAAGAAGTTTAATAGAGTTAATGTCTATTCAAATTTTACTGAAGCAATTATGCTCATACATAATGAATTTTTAATACTCATAATACTCAAACTATTAACAACATTAGAAACTTTTTTATGCGTGATTGAAATCCTTCGTTAGGATAGGAGGAGGGTGAAAGTAGGTATTTTGTTCAAACTTGGTTGTAATCTCTGATTGTTTTTATTAGGAGCAGTTTTTAGGGGGGAAAAGAGTTGAAAGAATAAAGTCTTTCCATTTGTTTTGCTTCTACAAAGAAAATGCACCTATACTGATATAAGTTTATATTCAGCTTTCAACACGAGGTCATCACTTTCTTTTTAAAAAAATTAAAAAAAAAACATGTTATCAATATACTTAGTTTCTGGCACGCCTGCAAATATTTCATGTTTCATGATTTATACAGACACACATGGAAGGTAAAAGATATCTTCATGGAAAGAATGACAATAAAATTTTAAAATGATAATTAATAATAATTAAGTTCTTAAAACATTTTCTGTATAAGATGAATATAAATATCAATTCAAACAAGTATAAACAAAAATTTAAATTATAAACTAATTATTTTATTTATAATTTAAATACATTCTTTATAATTATAATTTTTAAATTTATAATTGTTTGAATTAATATTTATTTTAAAAAAATTTATCAAGTATTTTATCATCATCATCATCATTATTTTTTAAGGCTTGACCGCCATTCCCCCAATATCCATAGCTTCGTCTTTCATGCTCTACTCGTTGAGCTGAAGTCAGGGTGTTAACGCCGCCCAGAAAGCTACGTACTGACCCACCCCACGTTTGGTAATTGCTCATGGAGCCATGATGTTCAATTTTGGAGAAGAGTTGGGCCAAAAAAAAAAAATTTACAACACCCTAAATCCCTAATTAATGTGCAACACAATCATATGTTACAAAGCTTAAAACAGTTTGTGACGAATTTTTGCATTGCAAAAATTAAGCCAAATTGAGTAGACTGGGGAGGTTTTTTTTTTTAATAAAGATACTATAAACAATAATAAAAAAAACCAAAATACTATACTGTGAGAATTATTTCCCAAAATACTCTACCTAAAATCGTTCTCACATTAAACAGTTTACAAAATTAATGACACTATAAATGATTTCTTCAATATTTACTCCAAAAGTGAAACAAAAATTGTTTTTGGTTTGAATGATTTTAAAAAATTGTTCTTAGCATGAACAATTTTTGAACTCCATCTCGAGCACTTCCTCTCCCCTAATAAATGAAATGAATGATTTGTCTCGTTGTTTAGTGATCATTTGAATGAAAAATGATGGCTAAATAATTGGAGAAGAAAGTGTTAATAATTACATAGAATTTTATTTAAGATTAAAAAATAAATAATTCTTAAATAACTTAGAGATTTTATAAAAAAAATTATTTTGGTTCGATTACAATAGTAAAAAGTCATTGTTAATTAGTTATTTTTAAATTTTATAATATCTTTTTTATTTTTATTTTATAAAAATAATTTATTATTATATTATTTTAAATTTTTATGACATCTTTGAATATTCTGTCTCTTCAAAACAATCTGTCTTATTTACTGTATTAGATTATTTTTAGAAGTTACCAAAGGTAGCTTTTTTCATATTTTAAATATTTTTAAAGTTTAAACAAATATCATAAAAATTCAAAAAAGATGAAAAAATAAGTATTTTTTTATGAAATAAGCTAAAACAAATGGGCCCTAATATCACTAACATCAGTAAGAAATTACTTAGTAATAGAAAATTAATTAATATATTTTAGGAAAATTAATAATAAATAAATGATTTATATGAATGAAAAAAATAATTTACTTCATAAATAATGACTCCAGACACCACATTTATTTTCTTTTTCATACGTTGTGGCTGTTATTGTTGCATGTTCTCCTTTTTTTGACATTTAGGTGTTTCATTTATCTATGTAATTGATGTATGTAAATCAAATTACGGTGATTTAACTAAACAAATTGATTGTCGAGGATGGCACATACTTCATTTGATGGTATATCATGTTTAAAAGTATAAGTGTTGTATTTAGTCAAAAATAGTGTGGAATAGTAAAGGAAAGACATGAATGATCCAAAATAAGCAACAATATGTGAGTTGAAGAATGATAATGATGAGGGTTGCATGATATGAGATTCAATTTGAGTAGAATGAGGAGAGATGAAAGGGAATAATGACAATGATGAGGCAGCCATATAATGAAATTAACTACAATTTTGATGCTTTTGTTTTAGTACATTTTCATTGTGAATTAGTAATTGGACAGATAAACAGCCACCACATTGCTTACTTAGTTTATCTTGAGGAATTTGTGGATGAGACAATTTAATTCTTGATAGAACAGATTGAGGATCCATATTAAATCGTTATTCTTTCACTGCAAGTAAGATGTTACATTAGTATTGATTAACCTTATCTTAATAATCAATGTAATGAGAGCATTTTAAATAAGAATTAATTGTTAACCTATATATTTATTTTGTTATATCAACCTAAAATAAATAATAAAACATTAAATTATAACACTTTTTATGTCTTATGCATGCAAGGATTCTCACAGGACATTCGCAATGAATATTACATCATATTAGTTAAAAAAGCTGAACTTATTCATTTGATGAATGATTTCACATTTTATAAAAAAAAAACTAATTTCTAAATTTGTTCAGTAAGTGAATGATTTCACATTTTATTAAAAAAATTAATTTTTCATTATAAAACTTATTTTGAGCTTTATATAAACATTAAACTGTTCTCGATCCGAATGTTTTTTAGCATAATATTTGAGTAAAACTTTTCATTGTGTAGTATTTAGATAATTTTTTTTTATAGTGTATTGATAAAAAAGCCAGACCGGTGAATACTGAGCCCTATTGGTTTGAGAGCTATACATCATTCGTGGCCACTCCGGAACTATGCAACGATGATTGTCATGATAGATTGGGCTCACGAACGTGTTCATGCACGCAGCAGAGGGGGACAGTAATGTCCTATAATCAGGTCAAACGTGGGGTGGATTGATACGAGATCTTGGGTAACTTGCATCTCCGCGATGCCTTGCGATAAACTAAAATTACTGAGGTGAAATAAACAGTGCGAGATTTTTTTTTAAAGTGTTTTTTGGATGGTCATGATTACGCCGGAACTTAGTCAACACTTGCATTAAAACAAATGGTGAGAGAGATGAAGGGGAATCACCAAAAGCAAATTTGGAAATTAGCACGCGGGTAAAATCGCTCTCGTATTAGCGCAATCACAATGGCCTCAACAATTCCAATCTTAAAAAAAAAAAAAAACTTGGAACTGGAAAAGTTTTTAATGGGTGATGCTTGTAATATTTAATGTTAAACAGAGTGCCCTGATCTGGCGGCTATCAAGAATATAAGCAGCCTTCAGCTTTTGAGGTGGAAGAAAGAATTATACTTCTCAGGCTGATCGAGAGGATAAACTTTGCCCTCTTGATCAAAGTACAAACATTCCTCGAATGCTTGTGCGAAGGGCCCTTCACAGACATACTTTCTTCCGATAGATGCATTTATTAATTATATCCACACTTTAATAATTGAAGCCCCGCGAGACACTTGGATATTGTATAATTAACCCCACTACAAAAAAAGTGCTGGCCTTGCCTAGCCTCAACCCCACACGTAAAAGAATGCGAGATAGATTATACTATAAGAATGGGACAGCTCCACAGCTATCCATCTCAGACTTGGAATTGGAAGTATAAACAACATTGAAATTTTTGGCAAAACGCAACATCAACAGTTATTTCTTTACTTTAGATTAGACATTGAACCATATTGGTGTGTCCGAGTCTGATATTCCAAAACCCAAAAAGAACGAGAAAGGCATCGAGTTTGAGCAAACAGAGAGCTGCTTTCACAGCAGTTTACAAAGCAGAGCAAGGAGGCATTTCTTTGGGACCCCACTACTGGAGAAGGACTAGATGATAGACGATGAAAAGTGACGTGGGAGCATTGGAAAGAACAGAAAAAGAAAATCGAAATAGAGATACTGTTTTGATGGAGTCCATCATTGGTTTTGCATGCAAATTAGGGTGACCAGGTTCATGGGGACAGGAAGTCAAGAGGGAATGATTTGGCTGGAAAAAGAGATGGGGAGAGGGGAGTTGTGGAAGCGAAAGAGAGAAATGAGGAACAAAGAATGTTGAGAAAGAGAAAGAGGAGGGCTTTTATGATTGTGGGTAATAATGAGAATATCCACCACCCGCCAAAGCACTTTGAGCCCAATTGGATGTTTCCCTTAAATAGTCTCATTCCACAAAAAGGTCCTTCCCTTACTCGTGCTTTGCCATTCTCTGCTTTCTTTAATTTCCACCTCACCCTTTCCTTTTGGTGTGGCGTCGAAGACTACGCTGCTCCCCTTTCCTCACTATTTCCTTCCTTACCTCCCAATCTAATGCTATCTAACCACAATTCTTAATTATAATCATTCTCACATTTCTAAACTGCGGCAATTATCAATTCATTACCAAGCTGCTTTATTTCAAACATCATGCACGTCTAAACTATATTCAGGATTTAAATTCTTCTCCGTTAGATTTGATCAAATCCTACCCAATAATGGATACAAATCATGGAACGCTTTTGTTTAGGCCGAAACGGTTGGAGAAAAAGAGGTCTCTCGCCCACAGGGGAGACCAAGAGAGCAGGGCGAACAAGCCAGTCATGTGACCGAACACGATTTGCCTGGGTGGTTTGTGGCTCAAAACTTTCCTGGCAACATGTCTGGCAAACACTGTTCCATCCATGGCTTTCTCACCCTGGGAAGCTCTTGCTCGTTCCGCGATCGCGTCTTTAAAATCCCTATAAAGCTTCCACTGGTAATCCCCCATTTGCTCCAAATTGGCACTCCCCAAATTGGACCTGACGGCCCCTGGCAGGACTTGAACCACGTTAATCCTAAATGGCCTGAGTTCAACACGCAGGCTGTTAGACATGGCAATCACGGCAGCCTTGCTGGCACAGTAAGACCCTGCCCATGGCGTGGACACTGTGCCCACAACACTGCCAACATTCACTATGCTCCCGCTTCGACGCAGAGCCATGTGGGGGACCACGTGTTGCACCAACCTTATCTGACCCAGGGTGTTGATTTCCCAGGCCTTCCGGATTGCGTCTAGGGGCAGCTCTGCTAGAGGGCCAGTGCTGCCTATCCCGGCATTATTAATCAGAATGTCTATGCGTCCGCATTTGGACAGTACAGTGTCCACGGCCGAAGCCACGCTCTCGTCACAACCCACATCCAGCTCGAGCGTGTCTATGTTGTCGGACTTCAAATCCAACATGTCTTGCATCCTACGGGTGATGTCAGACGCGAAAACTTGGCAATTCTGCTCCGCAAACGCCCTGCAGTACTCGTACCCAATACCACCCTTGGCACACCCTGTCACTAGAACGATTTTGCGGTCACTCATCTTTCTTTTTCGCATGGAACATCTAATCAGTAATTATCCTCTTATACGGAATTTTTGGATAACAAATTAAGGACGATGACTGGTTTAATTAAAGAGCCGTCTTATTCTTTTTTCTCGCTCATTGGTTCGTCTTTGGGTTGCGTGGTCGGGGTGCAGAATATTCTTCGCACCTTATGCTGCTGGCGTGTCCAGGTCTTGGTCGTCATCGTCAGGCCAGGCCGGCTACGATGGAGTTGTTTCCAAGTGGCTTTAGTGGGAACGAGAACGATGTCATGCTGACACTTTCTACTTCGCTTTTGGTCACAAAGATAGCGGCACAAGGACAAGGAATTATCAGCTTTCAAGGAAAGCTGCCGGGAAGATCGTCTATTATGGAAACAGTGCCATTCATATCTTTTCACCATTGATTGAGTTAAAATTAAAAGTAAACCTAAAATTCCAAGGGATTTTGTTTTCATGCTGCGGCTTTCTCGCCTTTGCTAGTAAACACATCAGATCACCGCCTTGGAAAATGCCTGGCGTTTGGAAGATCTCTATGAACGGAACATGCATGGAATAGATCCTGACGAGAATGTGAAATGGAACCCGATGGATAGTTACCTGTGGGATGGCCAGGTCTGGATGGTGTTAAAACTATGGTGTGTGGGGATAGGGTTTGTAAGCACTTTATCTTTTTAAGGCAAAGTGTTGAAGCAAGCCTTTCATGGAATCCGATGGCATTTTTTCTGCGTCTCTTTCTCTTAGCCCCATTACTGTCCTTTCATTTGATTTTACCCTACGCCCAGCCAATTTCCTTTGCTTTTCAGGCATTAATGTTGCATGCCGTACTCTTGGATGAGAAGCTCTTTATGAACCCCTCCCCCTTTAATTTCTTGTCTGCGCCCTGCAGCATTCAACGTCTCCTTTGCCTTTTCCTTTTCACCCTCCATTTTCATTTCTATTTTCTACCCGTTAACTCCTCCTATCAAGTAAATCAGTCTCCGATTTAATTTGCTCTCACTAAAAATGCAATTGTTTAAGATGGGCACAGGTCCTGTGTCTTCTAGGGGAGTGTATTCTAGCTTACTAGATTACCAGATACTGTAGGAAAGGGGAAAATAATTGACCCCACTTTTGTTAAAGCCCGCCTTTCAGTTAAAATATTCACATTCCTAGAGATCCCTCCATTGCATCCGAAAGAGACTAAGGGTGCGAAAGAAAGTTGCATCAGATTTCGAATATCCATTTGGTAGGGTAGCTAGCGGCGTTTAAAGTTCTCCACATCCACATTATTCCCAAGGCCCTCATACTTGATTTATCGGTTTGTGACGCCATAGATCCATTATTGAATTGAAATTGACTTTAATCTACACACAATGATAAACCAATACATATTTTCTAAAATCAGTCCCATCAGTAATGAGATTGATTAATACATTTATTAGAATGATTTTTTTTACTACAAAAGATTTTTTTTTTTATCAGAGGCAACTCAATTAACACATCTGGCAACCGGCAACCGGGTTATTATGAGAATGAATACTTTTTGACTCTTTGTATTATCTGGAAGATCTATCAACTTTCATACTTTCAGGTTTTCTGCCGATGCCACTGCAGATTGCAGAGACAAGGCGTCAGAAATATGTATTTATTTAAACATTAAGATTAAAAATGTAAAATAAAAATCAATTAATGGAAATGAGAATGATACGGCTAACATCTTGAACTTTTTTGCCATTGATTGTTGACAACTTAACTCTTAGATTTTTTTTTTTTCATAAATCCATTAGATCATTATTAATAGGAAAAATATCATATAAAGATCACCGTACGAAATTTATATTAGAGAAGGACTAACTTATTTGTTTTTATCACTACAGTTCTTTGATCCTTTTAACATTTGACTTTTATATGTAAAAAGATTAAAATGCCCCTCAATTAAAAAACAAAAATAAAAAAAGAAACCCCCACCATCACCAATCGTCAGACCTTCGCCGCTGTAAGCTCGTAGGAGCCTCTACTGTTGATGGCCAGTTGTCGAAGCTCCGATGATATTCTTTTTTTAGAACTAAAGTTTTTAGGTGATTAAAGATAAATTTAATTTCATAACCCTTGGCTATCTAAAAAATTTAGTGGCCACTAGACCACCAAGCCCCTCAATATATATATGATAAAAAAAATTATAAATAGTAAATCAAGCACAAAACTATTTTCATGTAATAACTTAACATGTGTTGTTAATTTTAAATGAATTGTTATTATTTTACGAATGTCGCTTGTTAATCTAGCGTAAATAATTACAAATTGAAGGTTTCAAAACTTTACTTATTTTACTTGTTAAATGTTCTAATATTTTGTTGTCAATCACAAATAAGTTATTATCAAAATCAAACAAATACTTGTCAGTGAACGACTAAACCCTTTCTATCATTTTTTCTAACTTGTTAAAATCATGATAGATTTTTATTAATTTTAAATGAATTGTTGTTATTTTATAAATGTTGCTTATTAATCTGACATGGACAATTATAAATTGGGGACTTCAAAACTTCATTGATTTTACTTGTTAAACATCCCAATGTCTTATTGTCAATCACAAATAAATTATTGTCAAAATTAAACAGATACTTGTCAGTGAATGACTAAACCCTTCCTATCATTTTTTCTAACTTGTTAAAATTATAATAAATTTTTGCTAATTTCAAATGAATTGTTGTTATTTTACGAATGTTGCTTGTTAATTTGACGTGTACAATTATAAATTGAAGGTTTTAAAACTTCACTTATTTTACTTATTAAACGTCCTACTGTCTTATTATTAATTATAAATAGATTATTGTTAAAATCAAACGGCTATTTGTTGGTGAATAATAATATGTACTAACCCTTTCTATTAATTTTTTTAAAAAATTAATCTAGTGAAAAGAAAATGTATTAGCACATGCTCCTTCTCCTCCCGCAGATATACACTAATATTCTTGGTAAAATAATCGAATCTAGGAATGACGAAATTCAGGCTTCACTTTTTAGTTAACGGTCTGTTTCAACTCTGGTTAAACTCTTGACGATCATGCGAGATCACCAATTCAATGAGGTGAGCCATTACAAATGATAATATAAATTGAGCCCGAGACTCCGCGAGTCCGCATTACTGTGGGAAATAATTTTGTCTTCGCACCAACATTTCATTTTACTTTAACGTCACAATTTCCTGAACTAGATGTCAGAAACAGAGACACATCAGGACTTGAACCATATCAGAGAATAAATAAATACACGGGACCCAATTCTTGACGTGTGAAAATTGGCAAACTCATCTGGCCAAGGGATAAAAAGAAAAAGCAGAAAAAATTTTAGTTAAGGAGCAAGGAAGATTTAATTTCAGATGAGTTTAAAAAATTTTAAAATTTTAATTCAATTTAAAAAAATAAAAAAATTAATAATAAAATATTAAAATATCTTTCACTTGTCATACAAAATTATTAATTATTAATTTTTTTAATTTATTTATTAATTTATGAGTATGAGTTACAAATTACATGAGTTCACATATCAATAATTATATAAAACCCAACACTAATTTTTTAATGCAACAATACCAATTATTAAATTATTAACTTTACTTGTTAATTTACTAATATCGATTATAAATAACTGACAGGCCCTATAATTTACAAACATTAATTGTAAATTATTAACAAATTTTATAATTTACAATTGATATTAATAAATTAACATATAAAATTAAAAAATGAACAATAAATATTACTAATTGTCTAACACACTAATATAATTTATAAATAATATTAATAAATTAACAAATATAACAAAAAAATTAACAATTAATGATTTTACATAATACATAAAGATTATTTTGATCTTCTTACTGTCAAAATTTTTTTAACTTTTTTCCTTTAAACTGAATTAAAATTTTAAAATATTTTTAAGCTCACCTAAAATTAAGTGTGTTTCTTGATTCTTAACTGAAATTCTCATCCAAAAAAATGGCAAACTCTTGATATGGGAAAAATCGGAGGCCCATTTGGCTTATTAAAAAACAAAAATCAGAGGCTCATTACAACTTTGAAATTTAACACAACTCCCCTCCCCCCTCTCTGGCACGAGTCCGGTTTATTAAAAAAATTAATATTAAATTTAATTATCCATATGCAATCTGATAAATTAGATATATTAAAATTTTATAATTTTTTATAATAAATATAAAAATAAAATTTTAAAATCTGGACAAATGCTCCTCAAGTGATGACGCCTCCGGCACAGCCCAGTTGCATGGAGTCGGCTATTTGAGCACATTTAAGAAGTCACCAGGCGCCAATTCTTTCAAGTTCATAACAGGCTCGATCTCTAACCGAAAGAATTATAAGGTGCAGACACTCTCAGACTCGTTCTCGGTTATTTCCAGCAATTAGGAATAGAAAATGTCAAATTTTAAACCTGAATGCTAGGTCCACGTAAACGTTCAGGAATATTACTATCTTAAATCTTTTAACCCCCTAGACTTCATCGGGTTATTTATGTGACAATCAAAAGTTGCAAGAAGAAAGCATCCCTGTTCTACAGAATTGGGTTAGTGATTATGCAGGAGGAGTATTACAGCAGACTTCAAAAATATCATCCAAAGGGGCATGGTCCCCCGTCCCTTCATCCTTCCTCGCATACAACAGCTGCCTTCCTTTGAATACTAACATTCCCCCCTGACATGACATAACAAAATTACAGCAAATCAAGAACACAGCTGAATTTGTTCTAGTCCTTTCCTAAAATACAAATATCAACAAACCTGTTGTAAGACACCACTTGTATCATCTGGGGTGGCTTCAATCGTATAGTTTTTTAATGCTTTCTGAAAACTATCATATCTTGAGAACACCTTTGCCTGAAATATCAACGTTATGGTGGAAAGATACATGCATTAGACAACAATCCAACAATCTCTTTAAATGATATACTTCACGGATGTCTGAAGTTTTTACACTGGCAGGGTTGAGGAATGTACGACCAACTCCATAGTATAGGTCCAAAACATTATATGCCTGGAAGAAACAAGCTTTTATCGCAATAAAAATTCATTGAAAGTCAAATCCTACAGATGAATGTTTAGAGTGCCACACGCATTACCTTGCGCTCAGGATCTGCATATAGACAATCCATTGGAAATGGTAACTGAACATAGAATATTAAGGTCAATAAGAAAATAACAGTTTTGGGGATGAACATGTCCATAGCAAGAAATTGAAAACTATATTGGCAAGCATGGTGCTTAAAGAACACCTAACAAGACAAAAATCTCCATGGATACTAGCCTATCACCAACACCTACCTTGTTCTGATGCCAACGCTAAAATAATCAGGGACGAAATTTATAGCCACGAGAAATCATTTTTAGACTTCAACAATAAACAGGAAAATGAAATGCAAGCTGTTATTTTAATAAGAAAAAAACTATCAGGAAATGCAATAAGTTAGGATGCGACTTATTATTAATTCTCAAATCCAATCCTAAATTCTAAAAGAAGTGATGAATGATGATGGACTCTTAAATTCATTGTTGTCCACGGTTTTCATAGTTCAAGTACGTTCAGAACACCAATGAATCCTTTAAAGGAGCAAAGTCAATCATAATTTCAGCAACTCATGGAAAAGGGACAAAATCACAAGTCCAGAATTAAAAAAGATAGTCTTTTTCTTCTTAAAGCATGTATTATTGCCAGGAATACATCGCCATGACAGATTAAGAGAAAGAAATTACTCGCTCAGCAAGTATACGAGCTTTATTAGGAGTGCCAACACCAACTGCAATTAGTTTCACACCAACTGAATCGAACCTTGATTTGTATTCCTTCAGGGTTGAAGCTAATTCCCAACTAAGAACAAGCACAAGGGGAGAAAAGTCGTAATAAATAGCTTCACAGAAACAAGACTTGATGATGGCCAAAGGTGAAGATCAGTTACCAGCAAACGCATCCAAAGTGCCTTAGGAGGGCCACAACAGCTAGTCCCTAGTCAGAATTTAAGAGTGGGCATGAAAAAGGTATAGCACAATAACAGATATTTGGGTCACAACATTTAGAAGAGAGCATTCTCCAGTCAGCTGCTGATTCTGGTTTAGAAACTTTTATCATGAATTGAAGGTGATTGCAAAGCTTTGGTATATGAATAAACTAATGAATGTTAATAATGAGAACAATCAAATTTGCCGGATGCATATTTTGATTTCCAAAGCTATAATGTGCTTTTCGTATTAGCCTTTTTATTATTTTAAGACCTCAACATGAATTTTCACCGCATAAATTTGATGGTTAATGGCTAGCATCCCAACTCAATATTGAATTTCGGGAAGGTCCGCCTAAATGAAAAATAACAAGTTTTTGGCAGATTTCGTCTACGTTGCATAATCATCTATAACGAACATGGTGTTGATAGTTTCACACACAAACCAAACCTTACTTGGCAGAATTCAATCAAGAAAGTAACTATTTCAAAATCCAATTTTTTTAATAACAAATCCGCGCCGATAATCCAAACAACCAAATGTTAGATTAACAGAACATATAGAGGAAGCAGAGATTGGGTTAAAGATACCGACCTCATTCTGATCCCAGAGATCTTTGAACATCACGGGCTCACCACCTGCAGTGAAAATGGTGATATCACCTAGATCCTCTGCAATGTTTGGACTGTATGGCAAGGTCGAAGCTGAAGCTCTCGCAACTAGACGCGCTTTTCCGCCGACAACAGCGGGACCTCTTAGGTTAGAGAAACAAGTGGGTGCGTGAAAACTAGGAGTTGCAGTAGTGAAGCAAGGGAGAAAGAATCCAGAAGGCACGAGGGGTCGAGCCGGGGGTCGCGGAGAAACTAAATTTTGAGAAAATGTTGAAACCATGTCGGATTGAAATATGGTAACCTCCAGAGCTTCGGTAAGTTGTATCAAGGAGCCAAGGGGCGTGATCGTGAGGCCCTCCCGCAATACCCATATCCCAAAAATTTTGTAGGAAGACGGATCTAGACTTGTGGACAACAACTTTCTCGGCCAACATCGACCTCCGATGGCTGGACGGAGTATCACCACACCTTTTTGTCTTCGTTGAGTTAATTTTTATTATTATTTATTAATGTGTTATTAGCTGGCAGCTTTTTTATTTTGTATGTTTGAATTAAATAATTTACAGTTAAAGTTAAAATTCATCTGAGGTTAAAAAAAATATATAATATAATTTATATATAAATATTTTTTTAAAGTTAGTTAAATAAATTATAATTTATTTTCATAATTTGATTTAAAAATCAATTGAAATGTTTAATAATAAAACTAAATATAAATTATTTATTTATTTTTGACAAATTAATAAATAAAAAAAAATATTAAATTTAAATTATAATTAATAAGTAAAAAATATTAAATATTCAATTATAAAAAGCTAAAATAAATTTATAAATTATAAAATATTTAATTTATATGATCTATCAGTTAATTTCTAATTCTATCACAAATAAAATGCATCAACCTTAATAATTTAGGTAGATTTTAAATATAAAAATTTTAAATATGATATTTAAAATCTAAAATTCAATCTAAATCAAGGTATTTAATTTATGTATTTAATCAAGGTATTTTAATTTGCTAGCCCAAAAAAGATATTTTAATTTCATTATGTACACTATTTTTATTTATTTTATCAAAAAATATTTAAATTGACATAAAATGTAATATTATTTACATTTTTTTATTAAAATGGGGGGTGATTTGTTGAAATCATTTTTTTAATATTAAAATTACTTATTTTGATATATATTTCCTCTGTTAAAAAATATAAGGTATTTTTTTACCAAATCTCACCTCTCAATAGAATAATTACCTACTTTTAAACTAACCCTATTTTTTTATATTTATTCTTATTAAATACCCTATAATAAATATAAAGTCGCTATTAATAAGGGTACTTTTTTAAAAAAGATAATAATTACAACTCAAAAGACTAAAAATGCCTTATATTTTTAAACATTTAACTCCTCAAAAAATATCTTATATTTTTTAATAGAGGGAGTGATAATTATTTTTTTGTTAAATTTATTAACCTTTATGTAGAAACCCTAGACACTATTATCACTCTACCAATTCACCATCAATTCGCTACTTATTGCCTCCTTTTACCATTGCAGCATCTCCTCCACCCTCCCACAAGCAGCAACATTTACTCCTGCCATCCCCTGTGGCGCCTCTCCAGTTGTCAATCTTCATTGATCTCAATCTTCGTCAATCACTCATGATTTACCCGCATATGACTCCATCTGTTAGCTCTTTGTTAGCTATTTGATCTCAATCCAGAACCCTCAACCTCCGTGGATAATAATGGTAGAATGACGTCCACGAGAAGGCGCTGGAGGCAACAATTGGCGCGTGCTTGAAGTGAAGACAAAGTAAAGGGTAAAGGGTGGGTGAGAGGATAAGGAAGAAAGAAATCTAACGCCAGTTAAAAAGCTCCAAAATCTAGCTTTAAGAATAATACTCGTTGGAGGCTAAACGCTCATTCAATTTTTTTCTTCTTCCAAATAAGATTTCAGATGAAACAATAAGCATTTTACCTCTCAACTGAGGTTTGAGCTATCACAATCTCAGTTGAAAGGTAATCTAAACATAGCCTTCTTCTATTTAAAATTTTAATTTATCAAGTATAATGTATTTCAATTTTGCTGAGCAAGCAATATAATTGCTTTACTAATGATTAGTCTTATAGTTTAGCTCTCTCTCTCTCTCTCTCTCTCTCTCTCTCTCTCTCTATGTATGTATATAAATGTAGGTGTCTTCTTCTTTTTTTTAATACAAGGCCACAATGAAAATCATGCAAGGAGATTAAGCTAAAGTCATGTTAGAAGCATAAGGCTTCTACAATCTGTGGTCGGATTGTCAAATAAGGTAATGTCAAAATGCTTTCTTGAAGCCTTATGGGCTAGAAGATCGGCTCATCGATTAGCTTCTCTGTAGATATAATCAAAAGTGATCTCCTAGTTCCTCATGGTGAGATTTCTTATGTTCCTAATAATTGCTGTGAAATGATAGGCTATGATTAAAGTTACACTCAATGAGGCACAGAGCCTCCATAGAATCAGAGAAAATACAACTCTAGGAATCTCAGCATTTCAACAAATGTTGAAGTCATTCCAAAATCTCTATGAGCTCAGTTGCCATGCTGGGTTAATAATTAAAAGTTTTGGAGAATCCCTTGATTCAATTACCCTTGTCATCTCTGATAAGTTTTCCACAAACAGTTACACCATTTTAGTTGACTAAACCATCAACATCAAGTTTAGCCTGCCTAAGATTTGGCGAGCTCTAGATTCACTAAATGAAAGACGAGTCCTAACAGGTGAGGATTCAATATGCTATATGCATGGCACCTTATACTTGGGATCCACATAAAGACAATCCATTAGGAATGGTAACTAAGCATAGGATATATAGTCATTGGAAGAATATCAGTTTGACATTAACTATAGAAATTGTCACTTAAGAAGAAGGTCTCTCAGTCTAACAGAATTAAGATGGGATTAGATAAAAGATGTTTAATTATCTACATCTAAATTCTACGCCTGACTACTATTAAAGAGGGAACACTCGTATAATTGAGATGGGGTAAGCTTGAATCGTTGAATGATAAGAATTTTGACTAAAATGCATTTGACTAAGCGTTAGTACATGACCCTAGCTCAAAGATCACTCCAATAAAATATAAATACCATCATTTGATACCATCCTATCACAAATATCTACCAAGTTGGATATAAGACCACAAATAAATTAGTTAACATGTTATTTCCAGTAGCCTTAAAATCTTGTTGTCTTCAAGTATAAGCAGGAAGCTATAATAGAAGTTGTTAATTTAAATTTCTTAACAGAAGCTAAGATATGGAATAAACAATTAAAGATCATCTAACCTCTCAAACCTAGTTCCTAATTCTAATGTGTCATATGAATTTCATGCCATTGCATCTAATTCTCATAGTTCAAGCATTTTGAGAACATCAATAGTGAATTAATGGCAGATATTGAAAAGAAAGGTCGGCAAAAAGAAATTACTCATTTACCATGATACGGGTTTTATTGAGAGAACCAATGCCCATTGCAGTTAGTTTCACACTAGCTGAATCAAACTTTGAATTGTACTTTTTAAGATTGAAGCTAATTCCCAACTAAGAATAATAATATGTATAAGAGCAGAGGAGTCATGCTTACTAGCTTTACAAAAAAGAGCCTTGATGATTATGGCCAAAGGTAAAGATAAATCACTAGCAAGGGCATCCGAAGTGCTTTAAGAAGGGTAGGAACAAACAGTTATTGCCTTATAACCAATTTTTAAGTTTTACAATTTAGAAGATAGAGTACTCCAGTTCTTATGGGTCGTTACTTCTGGATTTCAAACATTTATCATAGAATGAACTTAAGAGCCATGCTTTTATAGATGAATAAATTGATGTGTCAAATAATGACTGGAATCATCAATTTTTCTAGATATATACTTGAATGTCTAACAATTTTGAATCATAATTTTCATGATGATATAAAACGGTATTAGGCTTGTTTGGATTAACAATAAAGTATTATTTTTTGACTTCAACATGACCATAACGTGGTACAAATTCATTTCAAGTAAGAGCGACCAGTTATAGTTAGAGGCCATTATCCAATCCTTGAAATTCTTGTCACCAAAATTAAAAGCAACAAATTGTAACAATCCTCTAAGATAGCCAAGCAGGTGAAACACCAAACACAGTTCAAGTATCCTGTTAAAATTAGTTTTTTTAAGATAGCTCTTTTATCAACCTCAATAATAATTCCCCTCATAAAGACAACCATGGAAAAAATATAGGGGGAGCATACACTGGGTAAACGACGCACGCCAAAGATCTTTGAATGTGATGGGTTCATCGATAACAGTGAATATGCTAACGTCTCCTAGGTCCTCCACAATATTAACACTTGTATTATGAGGTCGAAGCTTTGGCAACCATACAGGTTGTTCCTTCAACCACATTTGAGACAATGCTACTATGATAAGGGAGATAATTGGCTGCAACAAAGAAAGAATAACATTTATAAGTTGAAATTAGGAAATAGTAAGAAGAGCCAGTAACTGAAGGCAAAGATAGTCAAATCAATGGTGTTAGCGGTGACAATAGAAAACTTATAGATGTTAAGACCATCATTAGATTGAATCAACCTAGACCAAGGAAGATAATCATTCTTTCAAGGTGCCAAGTAGAGTAACTAAAACTCAAAGATTTCCTTCTTGTGTGGTGTCGGATAGTTGAACAAATCATGAAAGTAAATATAACCATATAGCACTATATAATCCTTTGAATTTCCCATAAATTACACAATAAAATTTTTTGCATGTGAGATTAGGGAGGAGCCCAACTTAATTGAAGAAAAAAAAATAGATTCCCATCACTAATACAGATTGGAACTCGTATAATTCTTCTTACAACTATCTTTTTTCTTTTAAAGTTGCAGTTCTGTTTCATTTAATCTTGTAGTAAAATTAATCACTATAAAAACACTTCTTCTTGGTTATAGAATATAGGATCTCTAAATTGGTAATATGAACAATCAAGGAGAACCTAATTCTATAATCATCAAAATGTAACACTAGCAAAAATTTTGAATTGAAAGAAATAAAGAGGAGGCTTAGACACACACAAACACAATCATTACAAAGCAAACAATTTTGCTGTGGAATTAGTCCTTTACACAATATCCAAATTAGAATTGAGAAATGTAATCGGTCATCCTAGCCTTAACTCTATCAACCTAAATAGAGGCAATCTTTAATCCAAAATAGAATCAAATTTAATGGAAAAGAATGGTCAATAAGTCAAAAATGATCACAAGAAGATGAAGAAAAGAAGACATTTTTAGCTCATAAGAAAAACTGTAAAAGTGTTCGTCGACATCCTATGTCCTCTTCCTCCTAAAACCCTAAAAATATGACTCGCTTTATAGGCGCGACTCACTCAAGGGGCCTAGGCCACTGGGGATTGATCTAAACTTTAAAGCAATGAAGTCACAAATGATTAGGCCAGTAAGAGAATAGGCCCATAACCTTTATAGGGATAGGTCCTACTAGGCCACCTTTGATAGGCTAATAGCCTAGGCTTTAGCTTAAATGATTAGGCCACAATATTATGATTTTGCTCGGGTAATTTTGGTCTGGAATTTTGGTACATACTTAAATTTTTTAAATATTAGGCTGAGCTAAGAAAGATATGTCATAATCATCCCCTCTGCAATCTAATACTCTCTTTCAACCAATATTCATAATGTTGCCCTTTTTCATGGTTAATAATCAAGGTTCTTTGGTGAAAATCTGAATAAGCTCTGGGAGTGAACAACTTGTCATCTTGTTACTAAACACATTTTGGTTTGATTTTAGAAGGGCACTATTTTTTAATCTGGAAACCAAAGATTTCACATTAATATTTAATAATCCTGATATGTGCTAGAAAAGTATAGGATTTGTATGATAGCAAAGGTAATCTCCGAATGAGCAAACATGATAGTTGTCTTCAACATTTCAAGCCAAATAAGGGCACGCTGTGCAAGGTCGACTCTCATCAGGTTATTAAATACTGATACTTACCCTCTCTATGAGTTGAATTGTCAGTGCTCACACTCTTAATTTGCCACAATTTATGAAACTTATAACTCCCTCAAGGCTAAATTTTTAATGTTGTCTTTGTCCACTTGCATAATTGAATGCCATGAAGGAATGTAATCAGCATTCCTTCTCTTCATGTCTTTCTTGCTTGCCTTAGAGATATTTATAATATTAGGGAGTATAAATGACATAAAATAGCTTTATAAGCCCTATATGTAAGAGCCTATGCTTGGCCTGAATTTAAACACGAAAAGTCCAACAAACAAAGTTCATTTAAAAGGAAGCATAGCCTTTTCCTGGGAGGACAAGCTCGGAGTTTGAAAGACCCTCCCTCATCATCCTCTTGATTGTTTCTATCTTGTAGGATCAGTAGAAGCCATCTCTCAAAAATTGTCTTCAACAACATTGTCAACAACAACAAAGAATATATTGGACAATAGCTTATATAGAACCCCGATAGTGCAAGACGTGAAGATTTCACTGCCTCTATGTCAAGCTTAGCCCACTCCTTGCAGAAGCACTTTCTGGACAGGTTTCTGAAGGCAACAAGACCCTTTTCTCTTGGCTTACAAGGAGTGTACTAAAACTAGAACATTTCTCAACAAGAAAGATAGCAAAGTTAGTTTTTCATGCAAGAGTTCCAATAATGCAAGGGGCGATCATTTTTTGAAGCCACATTTCAAATCATTGAGACTATGACTCAAATCTTTATAATTATTTGTAATTATTTTTATATATTATCTTAGTATAAATCTATCATATCTTTAATTAATATTTTAGGAAATATTTATTATTATTCAAAATAATATTTTTAATTGATAAAAAAACTAATAAATTGATCATTTTATGAAGCCCTTGCCTTCCAAATGCCTCAAATCACTCAGTTACTAATATAAGAGACGAACACCACTAAATTACATTTTTGTTATTTTTGACTTGATTGTTTTAGTTTATCTTCTATTTTCATTTCAAGATCTTTTTAGGATCTACTTGATGAATAAGTATTGTATTGCAAGATGTTTAACTCTTACACTGTTATCTTGTACGGATAGAAAACTATAATTTTTATCAAATCTTTCTTTTAGTCCCTATAGTTTTCCCCCAATGTTTTCCGTCACTGTAAGCATTAAAAATACTGAATAAATGAAAACTATAAGGATTTGAAAAATAAATGTTACCTAATCTTTCTAAAATTATAGGGACTGAAAACACTAAAAAAAAATTATAAAGACTAAAAATAAAATTTAATAAAATTATAAGGGTCAACAATTGTATTTTTCCGTTTGACTATTAATGGGCAAGAGTTTTAATTTATTCTTGCAATATTTTTATGAAAAATCCCCCCACTCCCGGGGCATCTCTCTTTTGGGCTTTATTTGGGTAGAAATTCACAACTGTGTTGATTACAAGCCCAAAAGTAAACTTTAAATGCAAGCCTAAGAAGGTATTCCTCCCAATGACCGTAAGATGAAACAGATCAGCCCATGCACATTTGTTTCTTGGGAAGAGCACGAGCACGAGCGAGTTGCAGCCGGTGTAGAACCCAAAACTTGAAAAAGAAGCAGTTGCCATTTGATTAAGCCCCGTTATGGCTATGAGTTGAATTGTACACGTGATCCAAATTTTAATATGTTTTAAAAAAATTTCGTGACTTTTATACGAAAAAAATAATCAAGATATTTTTTGGCAATGAAGTTCACTAGATTTCGAGATATGATTTCAAGACAGAATTATATCCAATAGAAAGATACTAATAAGAATAAAAAAAAATAGTTACAGTTAAAAGTAAAAATAGTTGAAAAATATTACAGACCATATATGGCATGACGAGTTGGATAAAAGGAAAGTTTTGGGGGCGAATTTCTTATTTTCGTACTTGCACGTCAATTCCGTCTTCTTCAATCCAATCCCTCTCCTTTTCTATCCCGGCAGCATATAATTTCTCCAGCAGCTTTGGTGACTTTATTTGCAATTTCTCCGGAAAAAAAAATATTCGTGCAATTATAGGAGTAAAACAAAAACATCACTACTGTCATTGTCTTTCTCTGACCATATGTCTGATTTTTGTTTACCCTATGCATATAGATACTAAATATAGGTACACATAGAACAAAAATATCAGCGCTAATCATTCCCCTTGGGTCGATGGATCCTGAGACAAGCATAGAAGGGGAAGGGGAGAGCGTTATGCAAATCTACCCTTCCAGTATGGTCACGGAAGCCGCCAACATGCTCACATGGTCATAGATAGTACTTCGGTTTGATTAATTATGATCCACCGAATAGCTGGTCAAATTTAAAAAAGAATAGCTTCCAAATACATGCACTTCGCTTCGTTGTAAAACCAAAATTGAATTAGGAGAGGTATACATGGAGATGCGATACAATAATAAATTTCGTGATTGAAAATATCATGGCCGGTGCTAAGGGATTTGACTGTACATAGAATACCCTACAATAGTCTCCATAAAGGCACCCTGGGAAGAGGGATTTATTATTAGATTTGATGTGGATGGTTCTGTAAATACGAATGGGATATATAGCCACCTGTGGAGGCAAAGTAGTCAATGAAGATGGAAATTGCTTAATTGGTTTCTGCTGCAAACTTGGGATTCTACCACCGGCTATAGCAGAAATTATGGGAATAGCTACGCTTCTTGAACTTTGTTGGTCAAAGGGATTCAAAGGGACCGAAGTATATTCTGATTGTGTTGAAGCAATTAACCTTAATGATTGTGTTTGTAATAGGGACTGATTAATTACTATTGATTTTGTTTATATAGCTTTGTTGTCTAATGCTCATTTCTTATTAGTTAGGGAAGCTCATAATTAAGAGGTTTTTTTTTTTGACATATTCGATCATCCACCACCTTAGTTATTTGAAGGGTGTGAATGATAAATGATTTAATTCTTTTTAATCTTTTGACTATGCTGTATTTTTTATCATGATTACATTTCAGTTTGATTTTTTTTTTTAAAAAAACAAGTATCATGCTGTGATGTAATTTATTAACGCACGTCATGGACCGATTTTTATTTTCTAGCCAGTGCCCGCCATGTTTTTATCAATTGAAACTGTGTTACAATAGAAAGGGAGTCACGGGGCAGTAGGCAGGAAAGGGGTGTTTGATTCGAAATTAAACTCATTCCCCTGCGTGTTTTAATCTCATTGGATATTCATCATTAGACAAACTTTAACCAATATTGTACAGAATTTTTTTTAATTAATTACCATGTCACCTAATGGACCTGAAACGGTATCTTTTTATTAATGAGTTACTTCATCATATTTCTTTGAAATCAAGTAAAATTTTTAATTTTGTTTTAAAATTTAATAAATTCTCACCTCCAACTTCAATAAGGGCAAAAATATAAAAATAAATTTAAAAAATAGTAAAATACTTTATAAATATAATCAATGAATATTATCTCATAGTGGTATAAGTAACGGTAACATGTGCACCGGGAATATGTAATGTATAACAGTAATATATAAAATTTATACATGTAACCGAGTGAACGGTGAGATACTGAGATCACGGATAACTTTTAGACAAACTCACAAGTCATAGTCACTGTTCACTTCGATGACAAACAAGTAGTTAAAAATGCGAGCCACCATTCATAGTTCCGTGTATAAAGGACGAGTAGCAGACAATATGAAAAACGAGTCATTGTTGACACCTGAAGGCTATGTATGCTGTTTAAAGGCAGGCTTCCCGAGAGTTTTATTTGTCATGGATAGGAGACCCATTAATTATTGATTATTTATTTTTAATTGCACCAAAACAAAAATAAAAAGCGGGTCACGTGTCCCTTCAAATTTAAGTTTTAGAAATAATGATCAAGCTTTTATATATGGAAGCCCGAAAAAACACCATTTCACGCGTCCCTTCAGCGTCATATAATTAATTAAGACACGAAAGCAGTGATAATTTTCTATTGAGTACGTGTGTACACACTGAAAGGGAATCTAAAATAATTGACAGGCTAAGCAGTATTGGAATATATAAAAATTAGCTAAATCGCAGATTCATCAGAATGACAAAGGACAGAGAAGCGCGAGATGGATGATTATTTTAGGATTAATATAATGGGTGGATTAGATTAAGATGAGGGGATTAAGATTAGTGAAAGAACTTTACAGGAAAAAAACGAAGATAGATATAATGATGACCATGGTTGGCTGCTCTGTGTGCTTGCGTGTGTGAGTGTGTGAGTGTGCGTGTGATTATCCCTAATATGTGGCCCTCCAAGTGTTGACTTTGTCAGGGAGGATATTATATATGTGAATGATGGAATCATTAAAGCAAGATCCAGGAATGAGGGAGGATATATATGAGAAACTAACATTAAGGAACTAAGGCGTAATGATTAAGCTACTTCGTGTTCCTTGCTTTCCTGCTGCTGTGACGTCCTAGCTAATCTCCCTTCGCCGTTGGTTAAATTGACTCGAGAATGGAAATTGAGTTCATCACGATCATGAAAGTGGAAAGCGACGTTGTTGTGTTCATTATATATTAATGAGCAATCCTTTCATGATGCTTCAAAGCCATTCCTTCCTTCGCAAAGTGAACTGACCGACTATTTTATTTTATAAACCTAAAATCCACAAAGTGATCGACCCATACAAACACCTTCTCGTTTTCCTGTGGTATATGTACGGAGATTGTATATATTAATTAACTAAAACACCACTTGATCGCGGATATGCCCTTTCCAGCACTTGCAAATACGGTCCTAACTCGTGCATAATGCCTCACCCACACTCTAATTATTAATTATATGTCTTCTTATAATTAGTATTGAAATCTTCTCTATATTTTCTCGGTATACATGTAACGCTTCACCGTAATAGATAAAAATGCAGTCTTGTTCCACTTTATATTTTTCCATCTGTTTTAAAACACAACCACATAAATAGGTATATCTACTTTACGTCTTTACCTGAACAACAAATTTTTAGTATCGTGATGACAATAATTATTTTTTCACAAATTATATATGTTAAACTTAATTATAATGTAAAATCAAGTTATGCCGACTTAGTTCATTCAAAATAAACTTAGTTACGTTATTTTGTAATAAAATATAAATTACTATTTACAACAATTATAGATGGACCCTGTGTTACATAGCCTGATAAATTAGTCCATGGTTTGTAACTCATAGATAACATAAATTTATATGTGCGCGGATATATGTCGGTATTGATGACAGGAGTGAAATGTCGCCTCCAATAATCATGAATGGATTGAAATGGGCGAAACGCACCCAACCCCGCCCACCGTGAGCCGCCCGACTTTAATTGGTTGGATCATGGAAAGCAGATGTTAAGCACGGACACGGAGAGCTTTTTTTAAAAAATCATGATTGATGTGTGAAATAATTTCACAGTTGATTCAAGTAATAAGAAACCAAAAGACGCGTGTATGTTTGTTAGTGCAAATCTCGTTCGCTGCCCTGGTCTTATTTATAGAATAGGGAGAGAAATATTTTTTATCTTATTTATTAGTTACCTCATTAAATTTTTATTATGAATTTTTTCATTTGACTTTTATTGTATGTTGGAGAGAGAAAATGTATTGTTAAAATATATATATATATATATATTTAATAGGGATAAAGTTAAAAAATTATTAAATTTCTAGACAGAGTTAATAAATTTTAAAATTTTCTTTAATTATGGTGAAATATATTAGAAGTGCTTTATGAATAAAATCGGAGTAGTATTTTTTGTGATTCATAAATGAATACTGCCCATACTTCATCCATGTATATATACATAAAGTAATTATATATATGTGTGTTTGTATGTATGCTCTTGAATAATCACTTCACCTGAATGTGTTATAAGAAAGAGAGAGATCTCGGCAGAGAATTGAAGGAGGGGGCTTTAATTATATTTATTAAATTTTGGAGTATTAATTTGAAAACTTATAGACTGTTGAAAAGCACTGTTTGTTGATTTTTGCTTGGATTATGTCTCTGATTATAACCTGTGACCTTTACGTTCAACAGATTAAAAATAGTTAGAGCATAAAGTCATCTTAACATTTTACTATCGCTTTCCTTTATTGCTTTGAATATTAGTGGATGTAATATTTTTTTATATCAATAAAATGGCCTTTTTTTTTAAAAAAATCTCTAATGAATTGCTGGTTTTTTTTTAAAAAACTCATCATGACCTTAAAGAAAAAGAGGGATTAGGTTAGTTTACTTTTGGTAATTTTTTGGTTAACGTGACGTATTATTCTCCACCCAGTCATATGCAGCTTTTCTTTTTGGCCACCACTCATTCATATTTTATGGAATTTCTTCAAGATTCTTTTTAATTTATGAATTAAGTAATAAGTGTACAATTTGAATGGATTCTAAATTAAATTGATAACATCACCTTAATATTTAATGTGAATAAGAATCGTTCTAGCTTCATGCATCATTGTATACACGCTACAATTAAGACAGTTCTTAAAGCCAGGAACTTGCTTTATAATTATTCAATACTCTTCAAAGTAATTGTTACTTTAGATTCATGATTTGTTTTAATTAGATAATTATAGTTTTAATTTCAATGAAAATTATTTTTCATCATAATTTTGTCTTTCATTAATAAAAGGCGGAGCCCGAAAATGCTTGCTATTAAAAATAAACTCATTAAATTGACTGCAAACTTTAACAGTTGCTTTTTTTTTTTTTTAACTCAAACAGCACATTTTAAAACCGAGCCTTAATTGGAGAATTAATAGTCAAATTTTGGGTTTGATTGATTGAGTTTCAGTACAACAAACGTGTCATATAAAAGTCAAAAAGGGGGAGCATCTGGACGTGAATAAAACTTAAAATTGGCCGTCGGTTGATGAATGAACTTGGCATTTATCGCAAGCCAATTATTAAAGACATCGATGTTCACTCCAAGAAAGCAAAAAGACAGCACTATCCCCATAGAACATGAATTATTTTTAAATTGTGGAGGAATGACGTTTTCGACTTTTAAGTTGTCCGCTTGCTTTTCGGTCGAAGAGCGCGCTTGGGAACCATATGTATATAAAACGTGTCATCCTCGCGCCTCATGAGCGTTTCCGGTTTAGGGTTTGGGTGTAGGGTGAGCGATAAGCGAAGTCGCAATTTTAAGAATAGGGTAAAGATGGAGATCTCAAGTTAAAGAAACCATTTCGAGCACAATAACAGCATCGAAGTCATATATACTTGAATAATTAAACCATCCGCTGCCTTGCTTTACAATACGACTATACTTTACAAAATATATATATCTATAATAACTGGCTTTGAAAAGATCCCCTATATTTTTCAAAACCGCACCTCTTTTCCCCAGGGGAAAAAAACCCCACACCCTCTTCTTTAGCAATTTTGATTAGGACTAGAAGCAATTAAGTTCCTGACTTGCAATTAATCGAGGCCGAGTAATTATGGCTTTATTTACTTTAGTTGCTCATATAACGATCAAGGTTTATTCTCGCTGTGACGCTAGTATTGCATGGCCATGCAGATGAGACGCGTTGCGGTTGTTGGAAGACCAAATATTGAGTTAGGGTCAACAGTTTTTGCCGGAGCATGATTCGCTCGGACCGGAGCCATTCGTTTTCGGTTCGTGCGCGGTTAGTGAGATGGAGCAAGAACTGCATCCGGTTCTTCAGGTCTCGGTTTTCCATCCTAAATCGGTTCACCTCGTTCCGTAAGTTCTCTAGATGTCTCTGTTTACGCATGCGTGAACGTCTTGCCGACTCCCGGTTCGATATCATCCGCCTCCGCTTTCGGTCCTCCATGACAAAATCTGGACGGTCCGGTTGATCATCTGAGGAGGGGGATTTTCTCTTGGCATTATGGGTTCGATCCGGTTCGTCTGAACCGGAACTTGAATTAATGACGGGGTCGGTAGAATTGAAGACGGAGGAAAGGTCCGGGAACTCCCAAGGCGTTAGGCCGCCTTCGAAGGAGGAGAACGGGTTTCCAAGGAAAGGGTGGGAAGGGGAGAGAGTGGACAACATGGCGGCAGGACAGAGCTTCTGGCTGTAGAGGGGAGTGGGAGGAAGGAGGGGAAAGGGAAGAAACGCAGCGTCGGGGTGCGGTATTTATGGTGTTGGGGGCGGGACCCACATCTGGAATTAAGGGTATGCGGTGGAGGTGTTTTAGTGCGGGAGCGTATAGTTGGAGTGGGACCGTATATGTGCACCGGATCACTTTTGAGTCAGGGAGCACTAATGGGTGGTGGGGATTAACAGCTAAAGGTCGGATTCGCTTTACTTTTTGGGAGGGGTTCGAGGAAACGACACTGTCGATGGGCCCCCGAAAGAGACTGCATCGATGCTTACTCGTGAAGCAAAATTACCCGCTCACAACCTCAATGTACACGTGTCATAGTGTGATTGGGTGAGCGTGCCAGCATCCAATGATTGGGGAGCTTGCTACGTGGAACTCTCTCACAGTCTTACTGCACATGCATGCTCACACCGAAGTTTGTTTTCAAATCTAAAAATGAATTATATTAGTTAATATTATTAGGAGGCAACTAATAATTAATGGAGACTAGAAGAGACGTGGACCACATCAAATTATTTGCATCATTAATATTAATTCTAGAAATGATAATAGGGTAACATGTTATAAATTTTATATTTTTATTATCTACCGTTGAAGATTAGAGATTAATTAGCTAGAAAGAAAAAAAAAGGGGCGACCATCATCCGATTTTAGAATTCCATGGTCATTATTTATGTAATGTTTTTGGGCCAATAAGAAGAACCTTTATTGACGTTATATTTAATTTTTCAACAGAAGTGATGTACCGAAAAAAAAAAAAAAAAGAAACAGCAGAAGTGGGAGTTGGGTTATGTAAGGCCCGAGACACGGAGTTCTTTTTTGAAATTAACTTAGGTCCTAAAGTTTAAACTAACTAAAAATTATGTGGATTGAGCAAAAGTTCAAGGAATGTGAGTCTAAATTACACAGAGTAAATAATATAAGTGTTAATTTACATTAAATTAAAATTTAAGAGGTAATTAGAATGACAATCGAGTTAAAATTATGAAAATTTAAATGATTAAAATTTTCAATAATTACACACACATATTCACGCGTTCACTTTTCTTTTTAGCGAATGAAAAGTTATGTCCCTAATTCTCTTCACGTTTCTTATCCCGATAGTCCCCCTCCAATTTGATAGTAAACAAAACAGCTGAGCGCATCAATTGAAATTGAAAATGGATAAGAATAGTCAAGGACGAGTCCAGAATTCATCACCTGGGGCCATAATTAAAATTTTACCTAAATGTGGAGGTCATACTTGAAATTGTATCCAAATATAAGGAGCTAACAATGATTTTTACATTTTTATGAATAAAATTATACTTATTTTAAAAAAATTTGAAGTATGGCCCCTAAATTCGTCACCGAATACAGTGTTTGACAAAAAGACCTTGCGTTTTCTTTTCTTTAAGTTAATTAAAAGATCACAATTATCTATTGCTGTTAGTGCATGAGAAATCAGATGGATACGAGCCCTGTATATACATAACTGCAAGCTGGATGCATAGACATGGCATGTGTGTACATGTATAAAGGAAGAGAATGTCGGTGAAGGCTAAAGGTTGTGAGAGTATAGAGGAGAGGTAGGGAATCTATGTATAGGTCAGCAGCTTAGGAAGAGAACAAAGTAGAAAAGCTTGACGGCGGTCTGAATCATTATATATTGATAGGACACACCCATGGATAATAAATACACACATCCCGCTTCTGTTGGCACAGCAACTGTCACAGCCAGTGCATGCACTGTTCGCAGAGGGAGTAAGTTTCAGTTACAGATTTCAAATAGAGTAGCGGGCGTAATTAAATAATTAGGGCCAGGAATATTCCCTGATACGTATTGTATTTGTTAATGACATATATAGAATGCGGGGGAGATATAAAGGTGGGAGATCAGTGGGGGTGGCGCATTTAAGAAAACGCCCATACCTTGGGGCAACAGTGGCGAAGGGATCGTGTCTCGTCCTGATTGAGAATGAACAGAGCCACGAGAAGGCCAGGCTGACCAATATGGAGGCAACAGGTTTCAGGATACGTATAAATGAGGACACAAAGTAAGCAATAATTGAACCAGATTTTACATGTGAACGCGGGCAAGGGGATATAAAGCAGTAAAGATGGCAAAAGCAGGCGAGCTCCATGAAAAAAAGAGAATTTGGGAGAGATTTGCTTTAGCTTTTGCTTTTAACTCTACGTAAATATATATAATCTAATAAAAGGGTAAAGAGGCAGGGCATATGGGGGTTGAGCACTGGAACAAGCAATTCCAGTGACATAACACGAACATGTGTAACCATCAAACTTGCTCGTAGCATTGCATGATGTATCTATCATGAACGCGCCCGACGAAATGGACCGCACGCAGTCTACTGTGCTGTGGTGTTGCTCTGTGGTTGGTGTCGGAATGACAAGCTCTCACCATCTGAATCACTAAGTCATGGTTTTATGGCTTTCCCAGCCTTTAAATTTCTGTTAATGCTCCGACTTTGAGGTCAACAGTCAACATCGCATGTTTGCCTTATCAGATTGACATATCCATTCTCCCTTCCCTCCAACCTTGTCCCCTCTTTAATCTGTATCCTCAACATCAGAAAAGAGGGTGTGTATAATTGTCACGTTCCTACATTAATCGCCTTAGGTTTTCTTAAAAAAAAATAATTTCATTATTTACATGTTATGAGCAGTGCCATAGCCTATAAGCACAAGAGCTGAAAAATTGGGCTGGCTTGAGCCCGTCTCAGAGTTTTTAAACTTGAGTTTTCTTTAAAATCTTGATATACAAAGCCCGGCCCTTGATATAGAGCGCTTAGGGCCGGCCTTGCGAACTCCAGGCTTTGTTAATTATTTTTATTTTTTTTAAATTTTGTAATCAAATGAAAAATTACTTCACTCCAATATAATATTGAATCAAGAAAGTATGAAAAAACTAACTAAATAACATTTAAATGAACTAAAGACACGAAAGAAATGATAGCAAGGCAATAAATAATGAATTGGCTAAGCCAACAAACACCCAATTGAGATTAAATGAAATTGAGCCTTAAAGGACTGAGATATGGGGCTAGGAGACTGAGGAAAACAAAGAGCACAGGCACAATATGTGCATTAGATAGAGCTTAGCTCATAATTATGAATGCACGAGCATAATAAGTGACAGGAGGACTTGGGAGATTGATGACAACGAGTTTTGACTATCAAGCATTGTTAAAATTGGTTCTTAAGAGGGAGCGCTATCGAAGTGAGCAATAGGAACGACTGAAGAGTGAGCAAAAACAAGAGTAAAGATGACTCGTGAGTTATGATAATAGGGACGGGAATGACAATGCGATGACTTGTTGATGAGTAAGGACAAAGGAGAAAAGCATATTGAAAAAAGAAGAGTAAATGTTGAATTGAATGAATTATTATCGTGAATCTAAATGAATTAGGGTTTTAAGGTTGTATTTTTTTTTGAAAAATAGCAACCAAGGATTTCTATATGAAATTTATGTCAATTAAGAATCAATTGTTGTCAAAACCTGAATGGAAAACAAGCTACAATAAACTATTATTAATTTAAAATGAGTTGTTATTAAACTTGAATGAATATTTATTGACAAAGGCTAACTCAAATTTATAAGCATCCACTTAAATTTTGACAACAACTAATCCTTGACTGATATAAATTTTGATCAGTGATTCTTCATTGCTATTTTTCATTTTTTTTTGCCTTTCATCCTCAGTAAGTATGGGCTGACATGTGATGTGGAGTAAGATTTAATTTAATTTTTTTTTTCAAATCTAAGAAGACTGAAAGTGATGAGAATTAATTAAAATAATATGCACATGTGAGCTTAAACGAGTTGGCTCTAGGTGTTCAGGGCCATTCCATTTAAGCCCTAAATTAAACTGGCTTAAACGGGCTTGATTTGGTTATTTTGAAGTCATATTTACAAACTTGATCCTACTATTATACAGGCTTAATAGGCTAGCCTTATGGGCTCGATCATTTTTCCAGCTTTAATAAGCACCTTTAAACTCTATATATGCAAATATATATTCGAGCTAGTAACTTGAGCCAAACCTAACGAACTAGCCTGAATTAGCTTGAAAAAAAGTTACAATCAGATTTGATTATATGGGTTTTTTAAAAGGGTAGGTTATAGTAAGCCCGATCCCAATAAGCTGGCTTGAATTGAACTCGATTTAAATAAGCCTAACTGTTAGAATTTCTAACTCTATATGTATACAGAGTTGGCAATTTTGATTAAGCTCGATTGGCTAGCTTGAACCCTAATGAAAAAAAGTTAGGGCTGTGCTTAGCTATATGAGTTTTTTTAAGAGGGTGTGATATTTCAAGCCCACCTAAATTAAATTTGACTCAAATAAGTCCGTCCCACTTAAATTACCAGCTTTAGATTTACTATTTAGTCGAGAATCACTTTAAAGTTATACGCACCACCAAATAAGAATGTTTTTTCCTTTGCAATGGAAACACAGAAAACAGTACTCTTATAATTATTCATTACTCAAAGTTATAAATCCACCATCACAACAATTGCAAGTAAAAAACTTATTGTTATTCTTGTGTATGTCAAGCCGAATCTTGGACCCCCTTTTGTTAATACCCTCCGGAGAAGCTTGCCATTAAGTAGTTATCTTGCATCAGTCTCGCTCAACCTTGGGAATTCTAGATCACCGAAGATTAACCTAGAGAGGTAAGCATGTTCATTCAAAGAGAGACATGAGGGTTTAGGTACCCAAGCGATGTAATCATCATTTTTGCACTTTTGGGCTCTTCCCCGTTTTCAGTCAAGGCTATGTATTGGAATTAAGGGCCTTAGGTAATAATGACACGGCCCTGTAGGATAGTGTAATTTACCAATCCTCGTATCATCTTTAAATTATAGGAGCTGCAAAATCATTTATAAAGTGATTTCAAGTGGCATTTAGGTCATTTTAATATTTAAATATTCTTTCAATACTAATTAAGGGTGGTTACAAATATCATCAATAATATTCCACAAGT